CAAAAGACGCCATGTACTGGATCGTGAAAAATGAGATTACACAAGTGAGCAACAAAGCAAGAATTTGTGGAACTACTCGCCGAGGCCATACGTGCCCATAGACTGGAGGAGGTCAAACACAGCCCAAATCTCTCCTTAAAGAAAGTTCAAATGCTGTGTAACCACATAACAGTGAGTTCAAATATAATAATTCATCTAAAAATGTAATTATATCAGCTGATAATGAAAGTGATGTTAAGAAAGCATCTGGTAAATTTTTGTGGAGTGTTTCACAATGAAATTTATGAAACTATCGATATCGAAATATAAAGAATTCTTGCAAGAATTTTCTTTTGGTTTTCTTTACAGGACAGCCAGGAATTTCCAGACATTGATCCTGACATTGACATAGATCTCCTGGTACTTTAAATGGGACTTTTGAGAAAGGACAATTTGGAGTCAACTTTAGTGGATTTCTCGGTTGCTGTTGAGTTCTTATAAAAGTGGATTTCTGACTTTCAACTATCACTTTACGTACAACTTCTGGATCAGCTTGGCATTTCAGTCCCATGCCTTCTGTTTCATGTTTATTTTTCTACAATTCCTGTAAATAAGTCACTTGATTTAACCAACAAAACAGTTCAGACACTACTGAAAACACTCAGAGCTACATTCGAACATTCATTACTCAATCTTTCAAATAAAACTATTCTAATGATCGGGGGGGGGGGGGGGGGGGGGGGGGGTCATCTAGGCAATTTTCTTTGGTTTGGGTTTTACGTTGATACCGACACCAACATTGCAAAAAAAAATGGCTTCGTACCTCGAGAATTAAAAGAGAAAAGAAAAATAATTCCTTTGCAGGGAGCGGAGAGGTTTTGGTATAACGTCGACACCGACACAGCGAAAAATGCCTTCGTACCTCCAGAATTAAAAGAGAAAAGAAAAATAATTCCTTTGGAGGGAGTGGAGAGGTTTTGGTTTTACTTAGACACCGACACCAACACCGTAAAAAAATGCCTTCGTTCCTCGAGAATTAAAAGAGAAAAGGAAAGGAATTCCATTGGAGGGAGTGGTTTTGCGCAACACAGACACCTAAATCGGATCAACATGGCGGCGACACAGACACCAACATTGAATCCACATGGCGCTGACTCGAGCACAGGTGTAGCTTGATAGCTCTCTGCCTACACCCATTATTGTACTGTGAAGGATTTTGAGCCATACAGCCTTGTTGACCAAGACCTTCCCGAGCTACATTGCAAAGAGTGTCTACATAGCATTAGTGTTTAACTCGGATGTAAACGAATCCTGTCTTCTTGAAGATCGTAAGGAGTATGTCGTCACAAGGCCAGAGAGACTGAAGTCCATGATGACCTGGATGGTCAAGGTTTGTACACTGTATACATGTATGCAAGACTGTTTATAATTGTGAAGTGCATGCCCCAGTAGGCCCACATTATCCTGGCTAGATGATCGAGTTGTCCCCAGGAAGAGGTTTCTATACCTACGAGTCTGTGCTAAGGAAGGCAGACCGAAAAAAGAGTGCCACGGCCAGCTACCTCCTCTCGGCCTTTAAATCCCCAGAGGAGTTAGCAGGCCTCAAGTCCCTTAAAGATGTGGAGGAGATCTTGACTGACAGTATTGTGGGAGTGTGAAAATATCATGTTTTTAGAAGGAATTTCATTTCTAACACATTAAATGTTAATAATGGTTGGAGGGTTTAATAATGCTAAACATGATTTTTTTTTCTTAATATTGACCAGAGTTTACTAACATGTGTACAACCTGTCAATATTCATGCTTCCAATAGTACATTTAATTTGAATTTTATTATTATATATGAGGGATGGACTCTTGCATAAGGACTATACTCCTTTTTAGCTCATCCCTTCACTCTCATTATGTTATGGTTTTTTGTTTGGATGTACATTTATGTATGATATGTTTATTCTGTATTTGTTAATGTGACTATTGTATATATTCTGTATTTTTAATGATGAGTGTAAATAAAAGAATTTTCCAGGACGAACTGGGCATACTATGACAAAGATCCCTGGGGAAAACAAAGCTCTTCTCTTTGGAGGGTTATCACTAAAAGAGACACTGATTACAACAAAGTGTAAGTCCTGCAAGGATGGTAGATTTTACATCTTGGATTTTGAACCAATGGAAGCATACATGTCAAAGTTCCTCTGATCCAAGCCAAGGCGGACCATTCGGCAACCTTGATTGAAGAAGATATGAAATATTCTGTAGTGATAATTGGAGGGCTTGTGTTTGATGGCCCCTTCCTAACTCATCGTGAACCCCTTCACCATGTAATAATTCTATCAATGGACAAAGACTTGAGTAACTTCACATTGCAAGAAATAGAATTGGAGTCGAATACCCCAAATATAGACGTTTTCCTTTCATCATATGCTGCTGTGTGTACATCAAATAGAAAAGACATCATTGTTTCAGGTGGCATTCAATCTAGCAGCAAAAAAAATCACAGATATGAAGAAGCCTTGTATTGCATCTAGTGAAAAGTTCAGTTGATTAGATAGACAAAAATCTAAAAAGCCCCAAAATAACTTGGGTTTTGGAAAATGGTGCTCAAACTTATTTTGAAACTTTTGAATGGAAGCATGTCAAAGTTCCTCTGATCCAAGCCAAGGCATACCAGGTTTTGGTTTTATGTCGAGACAGACAGCAATTTTTGGCATATCTTTTGGTGGAACCATTTAAAAATTTTGCTCTAAAAGGGCTTGGAAAAACCCTCAAGCAACGTTCAAATATGCAAAAAGCTTGCCCGATCGGGCAGAGATCTTGCAAATCACAATTGCCCCGTGCTATCGGACAGGCGATTCATCGGAGCCTGCACAGATTTATGTGTACATTCATTCATTCATATGCACATGTATTTTCTGTGTGTACAGTGATAATGATTGGTGACTCACATTTTCCATTTCATTCGCAGATTGTAAAGGGAACAACAAGAGGCAAACAACAAGTCAAAGTAATGTTCCTTGATAATTTAAGAGAGGAACTATTTGTAGAGACTGACCAAGTGACTAAACTACCAAGAGCCATGCCGAAAGGAGAAAAAAGGAGGAAAAAGGAGGCATTCCGACAGGCCAAAGCAGAAGAGACCAGAAGAAAGGTAAAAATTACTTTTATCCTATGTCTGTCACAGAATCCCGATTGCTCTAAACTCTGGGAGAAATCCATCAATAAATAAAGCTGTTAGAGCGCAAAAAAGAATGTCAGCCAAAAATGACCTTTGACCCTAAAAAGACAGAACACTTGGGGTAGCACCACCAAAAACTCTACGCAGGTATATATCACCAAGATACACCATCCATCCCAAATTTGGGAGAAATCCGTAAAGAGTAAGATGAATGAGTACATTTAGACTGTGGAAAATGAGACATACTTTTCAAGCTTTTGGCAAACAACCGTACAATTCTTCTATTACTGACCATGTGCAATTATTTTCCACAAATCAAATCACTTTTAATTTAGACTTTCTCATGAATTTATGTCTGATTGTCTACTAAACTTCTACAGTGAGACAACAGGGGTGTAACTCTATGTTTGTTCAACCAAAATCATGATTTTATATCTTCCTTTTTTCCAAGTCATGTTCTTTGATGAATTCAACGAGGTTGTGAGCTTACACATTGACAAAATTACTGCACTCCCTCGAGCCTGGTGACTGACATTTTCCATTTCATTCGCAGGTAGTTGAAGCAACATCAAGAAAAGTTAAAGTCATATACTTCCTGAACTGGATGAGGTTGTGTACTTAAACATTCACAAAATTGTGCCACTCCCTGCAGTCTTGCCAAAAAGTACAAAGGCTAAAAAAAAAAGGGCATTCAAGCAAGCAAAAAAAGAACTTACAAAGACATCAAAAGAAGAAGCACCAGTGATGTCAGTAGAACCTGCAGAGATGTCAGCAGAACCTACAGAGACGTCAGCACCAGGGACGTCAACAGAACCTACAACGGAGTCCGCTAGGGCACTGGAAACTATTCTCTCAACCAAAATTTCAGGTCTTCTAGAGGAAGAACTGCCCTGTCAGAAAACATGCATTTCATTAAAAATTAAAGTGTCAGCGGCCATAGCGGACTAGTCTTCCGCAGACCCAAATTTTCCTTACTCCATCATATATATGCCCTACAATCCATGGGGGGAACTTAAAACGGAACTTAAAACGGAACTTAAAACCACGCGCGACACACTTCCAATGCAGAAATGTCCATTCATCATGCTGTTTTTTCCATACAAGCAGAAATTTTTTTTGGTGGTTATTTAGGTAGTATCAGCATTTCATTGTTTTAGAGAATATTTTCTTTTCAAGTATGTTTTAAATTTAGTTTTCTTTTGAATTTGTGATCAAATCACCATTTTAGGGCAGCTGTTTGACGTGCAGTATGTAAAAAAAAAAAAAAGAAAAAAAAAAGTATTTTATGAAGAAAAAACGTTATACCGTAATTAGGAGGAAAAAACGGAGTAATTCCGGCAAAAACAGAATCGTTGGCAGCTTTGGTCAGTGTCCTAGATGATATCACCAACACAACTACCAGTGGTAGTCCACCTCAACCACCTACTATGAGACCGTCACAGTCAGCAACACTGAACATGAGGAACCAGCAAACAGTGCAGCCGCAGTACATATTTCATAGCTGTACTGTTAACATTTACCACAACTAAGAAGGAGTGAGAAAAGTCTTGTACATGCGTTATTGTTTTACATTTTCGTGTTTTAAATTGTTGCTGCTGTTAACTATTTGGTGAAACTTTCCTTGGAAAACCTTGTTGAACTTTAGGATGAACTCCTTGAAAAAACTTTCTTGAACTTTTGAATGTACTCCTTGAAAACTTTCTTGAACTTTTGGATGAACTCCTTGAAAAACTTTGTTGAACTTTTGGATGCATCAGGATCAGTGATACATGTATATAGACTAGACTAGGTATAGGCAATAGGTAAGTTACAACTTTTTCTTTTATTTTTTTAATTTCTTTTTGAATGTGAATGTGAATGTCCAAGGAATAGTACAGGTGGAAGGGATATAAAACAAATATACAATGACTCATTCTCGGAACAAGCTAAAACTAATGCACTCAGGAACATCAAAAGTACTATTTCCCTTGGGCCGATGGCCCTCGGGAGAATAATACTATTTGATGTTCCTTTGATGCGAATAGCTTCAGCTAGATCCTCGATTGTCATTGTATATTTGTATAATATTGGCCTCTCTCTCTCTCTCTGAAGAGACAAATAAAAGGTTAGAATTATCATCATGGCATTTTGGGTTTAAATATTGTCTGTTTGAACAATTCAAACATTCAATTGCGTTTGCCATATGAAATCATGCAAACAACAAGAAAAGGAAATTATTATCATTTTAACGGTGCAGAATAGAGGAAACGCCAGGACCGGAAACAATAGCCACTTCTGTTCTGAACTGAACTCTGTGGTACAAAATGTTGAGCGCCTCGGGACATACGAGAGACTCAGAGAACGTATGTTACGGGTATCCGCATCAGTGAATGCATTATTACTTCATTTAAACACATAGAGACCTGCACCACCTCAAGTCACATTGTGTCATCGTGTATTGCTAAGTTTGTGGGAAATGGGAAGAACCGGGTCGAGAACTTAGTGGCTCTTATAAATCAGGACTTTCGTCCGAGCCGCCCTTTCATTCCGCCGGAGGTGGAGAGAGCCATTAGAGCTCAAATAGAGTTTGAGGGATAGCCAATGCCGTCTTCTCTTTCTCAATAACTGAAAAACAGCTCCGTTTTGTCGTGGAGAATCGGTTTGGAATTGCCGATATGACCACTATATTTCGGCCGGCATCCAGAAGAACCACCAACCGCTGTTTAGGAGGATTAAACCTCAGAAGAAATATATTTACGCAATTAAATAATGAAGAGTTTGATATATATGTCAGATATCATTGGCGCTTTCCAAACGGTGGTTGGAGAACAATGCCGTCATTGGTAAGAAGGTTACTAAATATTTAAAAAAGTGTAAATGTTTCCCCTACATCCCCCACCCCGCTCTAGAGACTGATACAGAGGTTTCTGATTTTTTTAAATTTGTTTGTACTTTCCTTTCGAATCTCCTCATGTGGGGGCAGGCCTGCCGGGTACAATTATTTATGTTTGTAGTCATTTATACTTGATGTTTCAGATTAAATTATTTTATATGCAACAAACTTATAACATTGTGTATTAATTTTGTTCACATACCTAGCTGCTTCCATATAAAATGGTCTTCCTTATTCGTTTTTACCCCAGATGTTGTGTGGCACGCAGACATGTATGTCGATCCAAGCCACTTGATAACAGAGAGGAGAGGGCAAATCTGCCAGGTATTGGCCAATTTCTTCATCGGTGTGAAGTAATTATTTTGATGGTCCAGAGGAGAGTAGAGGAAGCTTCGGGACCTGACGCAATAGCCACCTCCATCCGTGATCTCAACAATGTGGTTCGAAATGTTGAGCGTCTTGGGACGTACGAGAGACTTAGAGGCAGTATGTTACGAGTAACATTATCAGTAAATGGTCTTTTGGCGACTATAAACACATATACAATGTAAACCTGCTCCACCTCAGGTCACTTTATGTCCTCGGCTATCAGATGGTCGGAGAGGTGCCCCCCCCCCCCGTTATAATATAACTCAAGTAGAAAATCAGTTTAGGATTGCTGACATGACCAATATTTTTCATCCTGCATCCAGACGAACCGTCAACCGCCGTTTAGGATTAAACCTCAGAAGAAATACATTTACGCAATTAAATAATGAAGAGTTCGATATCCATGTCAGAGGATATCATCGGCGCTTTCCAAACGATGGTTGGAGAACAATGCTGTCATTGTTAAGAAGTCTTTTCTTTATAATATCCAGGATTGATGGAATAGTTTTCGCATTCTTTTGTAAAAATGGGAAATTGATTTTTTTTTGTAACTCTATATATATACAGAGAAGTAAGGTTATGACATTTTATCTTTTATCGATTATTCATACCAACTGTTCAAGAACTGTTCTACGTTCGAAATTGGGAACTTCAGCAATTCTTGGCTTTCTTGCTTTTTTTCCAATTTCATTAAATGTTCAGTTATGTTTGTAATAATTTGTTCTTTCTTTGAAAACAATTAAAAATTCTTGTGTAGACTTGGCATCTAAGAACTAGTTGCAGAATTTTAGATCAAATGCTGCGTTTTGTATCAAACATGTTGGTGTTTTAGATGTGTAGTCGAGCTATTGTGCGAAGTCATTGTAATACTTGCCATTTTATGGAGAAACAGATTGGTGTTATCTATTTTGTTGTTGCTGTTTGTTGACTATAGTTTATTGTTAATAAAATGTATTTTGTGAAATACAAAAAAAAAAAGTATATATGAAGCTCGCGAGAGAGTGAGAGCATCACTACGAAGAATAGACCCAGCTGGAGTGGCACTACGCTGAGGCAGGACGGTTCAAAGAAAGAGGTACCGTGTACCTGGAGCCAACTGTTTGTGGCACATAGGGTATTGGAATTGTTATCTTAGTCGTCTTAATAAACTTCAACTTTCCTGATTTAGCCTAAATGTTAACTAATGCTAAAAGTGCAGGTCTGCATCGCATGATTTTTGAGATGTTCATTACATCCTTAACAGGACATGTGGAGTTGCTATTGCCCCAGGAACTGAAGAAGTAGTCAAGTAACTCATAAAACAAATGGAGGAGCACCAACAGATGCGAGGCCTCAATCTCACCATTGATCGGCTGTACACGTCAATCCCAATCGCAGAATGGTTAATTGAAAAAGGAATAACAGTCACAGACACAATACAAATAAAGAGAAAGGGGTTACCTCAAGAAATGAAGACGACTGATGGACGAGAGGAACACATGCCGAGTAAATGGAAGCAGCACCATCGAAGATGAATTCACAACTATAGGGTGATCTTTCCATTTCACTATTGATTTAGGCATTTATCTATTAGGGTTACTATGTATTCCTAACGTCAATTGCAAAGATTTTCTTGAATGGTCCACGTATACTATGGAGTTTGGGGTCTTCTTCTCTCTCTGATGGGAGGAAGGAGAAATGTCATTCTCACTAAAGAAATTTCACTTTAATTTTGAATTTTTTGTTTCTGTTATGTTTTTCCTGTTATAATTTTTGATATTTTCTTATAATATAATAATGTATATGTTATATGTAGAATTGTTAAGGGTCATTTTCAATAAGCCAATTAGTGCTTTTCATGATCCTGCCACTATTATTCATATGTTATTGATTTGTAAATTGTTTTTAAAGTGGAAATAAATTGAATTGAATTGAATAGAACCGTACCTCTTCTGAGAGAACTCCACTGGTTGCCAGTCCGTCAACAAATTTCATTCAAATCTTGTTAATTGTGTATAAATCATTAAGTGGTCAAGCTCCTAGTTACATAACAGAATTACTTCAACTGAAAGTCCAGTCACACAGTCGTAGCCTGCCCAGTTCCACAGATAAATTATTGTTCCAGATTCCTGATGGCAAAACTTAAGTAACTCTTGGGGACGCCATAGCTGCCCCCACACTACGGAATAGCTTGCAAATAGAAATACCAAGCTCTCCATCTGTCAATGTCTTCAAATTAAAAACATATTTGTTCAATTGAGAGAGTCTATTTTATAGAATTTAGTAAAAAAGGAGCTCTAAACCAGCACAGCTGAATATGTATCGTATATAAGCTGCGCTATATCTATGTCTCAAAGTGTCGACCCTCTGCTTTCCTCAGGAGATCACGCAGCTCCATTCCATCAAGCCTGTTCATTGGATAGAAGCCTCCGTATTAACTTGACTTATATGAACGCTATGCCGCAAAGATCACAATAAATTATTATTGATTGCAACATTCCATATTCATTGATGAGCGGACAATAAACGACTGGTCTTAATCTGTCAATAATAACATAAATCGAAGTTTATATAACTTGTAAATCATTCATATTGTTGTGTGAACCATAATTACAGCACAGACTATTATAAATACCCGGATATAGGGTTATTCAAACAAGTGCTTTCAAAGTACAATAACCTGTCTGTGTCATTTATCACTGTGTAACATTAATTTAAATACGAACCTGGTATTACACAAGTTTAAACACCAAGACAATTGTTTACATGAAAATAGATCTACGGATCAACAGACTTGCTTCTGGCTGGCGTCACTAGCTGTTTTTTATTTTCAGATCCTTGTTAGCATTTCAAATCATTATCACAGACGCATCTTAAATATTGGTGTTACAGATAATGTTAACATAAAACCAGACATTTACACAAGGCTACAGGAGGTAAGATAAACAAATATAAAACATTGAGAAATTGGTTTCATTAGATCTAATAGGTCTATGGATCAACAGACTTGCTTCTGGCGTCACTATTGGTTTTGGTTTTCAGATCCTCTTGTACATTTCAAATCGTTACCACCGACACATCTCAAATATTGGTGTTACAGATAATGTTGACGTAAAAACAGACATTTATACTGAGAAAACGGTTACACATATATAAAACTATAGCTCTATGAAGATTTATAATCTTTTAACTTCACCAGCTGTTTACGTTCTCAGGTCTTGATCTTCTTCAGGGCCAGTTGACAAGCTTTCTTGAGGAACGTCTGATTGACCTCAACTGACCTCTGCAGGTGGATCACATGATCAGGAGTCATCTGCAATGACATAATCACAACAATGGCATAATGAATATAGAATTCATAAGTTTTCGGTTTCACTATGTGTGTAGCCCTGAAAAGAATTGTTGGGTTTGAAAGGGGATAGAAAAGAAATTTTTGATGGAGAACACTCCACCCCCCCCCCCCTTAAATTAATATGGTGACACCCTTTATATAGCTGCAACTTCTACCATCATTGTCTCACTGTTTAATTCTGGTACATGCCCTGTTAAAATAATATGATACCCATTCCCAATGTAGCGAAAAACACCAGCATCATTGCTTCATTTGTTTATTGTAATTGACGACAGCCAGAAACATTTATCCCTCCCCCCCCCCCCTAACGCAAAGTAGTCTTGTGACACCAACTAGCGATGTTATTATACCAAGCTTAAATTACACAGCCATGAACAGCTCACCTGTGTATTGCACTTATTGATGACAGCCAGAAGCAATTTGGCAAACCTCTTGCATTTTGACTGGGATGTTCCATTCTGTCCAAGGGATGCACACAGAAGACCAAGGAGGGACGAATCCAACTCCAGCTAAAAGCAATCAAACAATTGTTGTGGTTCAAATTATTTGGAGTCATCACGTAACTACTTTCCACTATCTAGCAACAAAAAAAAAGCAAGTCATTGGCCTTTGCTAGGTCCCTCTCAGTGCATGTCACAGTTCAGTAGATGGAATTTGGTAAGTGTAGAAAATCTTCTTTACCTCTAGGAAGAAGAGGGCCATTATATCAATGGCTCTGAATAAAGCGTATCATCCGTATTCTTTTTGAGTAATTATCATTAGCAATTATTGCCAGAGCATGCATAATAAAATCTGAACATTAAATGATATTGCTCATTGTTGCACTGGCTGGGATCAGTATTTACCTTCATATCCAGCAGATTTTGGACGAAGCCACTGACCATTTCTGACCAGACTAAGTCAGGACAGACGAGCAGACTCCTGAAATAACAAAAGAAATAAACAAACAAATTTGACAATGCTATTTTACATGTTCACTCTATGATTCTCTTATCATTTGAATTTAATCTCTTACTTTCATTATTTATACATTTGTTCATCTAATTTTGAACCTTAAAGACAATAGTTTGTTATACCAATTTCCACAACATCGTCAACCATTTAATTATAGATAATAACTAAATATCACATGTAGGAGACAGCAATAGTAAGCAGGATTTCAGGCGTTTTCACATTACTGTAAATCTCCGTGTATAAGGCGCACCTGTGTATAAGGTGCACCCCTATTTTGAAGACAAAAAAAAAAAAAATCTGTCATCTTTAGTTTTAAAGAGAAGGTTGAGTTCTGGGAAGAGGTAAAAAATAATTTGTGAGCGTTATCATTCTTATTATGCAAGTGCAGGGCGCGACAAACCCGCTTGCCCGACGTCCCGGGGCAACCAAATTGAGCCGTCGGGCAAGTAAATCAAATTATCACTTGCCCGATTCGGGCAAGTGATACTTTTACAGTAATTTCCTAGTGTCCAAGAACTCTACCATTCACCCGTCAACTTCTTACCCGTCGTCAAAATCCAGAAGCAAAAAAGCGATCGTTCCGATTTCGAAAAAACTTCACAGACAGCTAGCCAGCTCAGCTAGCTCAGCGCGCATGCAACAGTGACACTTCAAGCCATGAATGCCGCTCCGCCTCCGGCTCCACGCACGGCCGGCCGTGAGCTAGCTAGAGACAGCTAGCGCGATCGTACCAGCTGCGAGCTTATTCGCGCTCTCTCTCTCTAGCTCTGCAGGCCGCACCGACAGGCCTTTGCTATTCTCTGATTGCCGATTGGTTGAATCACGCCAAATATGACGTCATTATTCTAGGGAAATGAACACGTGCGAATCGGAATGGAATAAACAACAGGGATTTTCTAGTAAGTACAAAAAGTCAAATGTTTGATATTTATTCATAATGACTGTTAATGATTGTGAACATATTATTTAAAACTCGCTGCTCATATAAATCAGATGAATGTTTTTGTCTCGTTTTCAATTTATTACTGCGGTCTCAAGATCCGACCGAGCGAGTCATTTTGATAATAGTATCGAGACCCCCAGAATATAAGCCGTTGTTGTTTTGTTTTCATGGTTTTAGCGACGTTGTTTAGTCTAGTTTTCGCATACTTATCCGAGATTTATCGTAAAATATCTTCAATATTATTATTTAGTAAGAATTTACAAATTTTGGCATGATATTTATAGCAGTGAATGATGAAATAAAAATGTCCGTACTTTATTAAAAATAGTTGATTACCCATTATTTACATGACGTTTCTTGATGGAAGAGTTGACCCAAATTATTAACAGCTGAAAATTAGCCTACGTTTCCAAATGACAGCGGCTTGCACAGACACACATGTGATGTTGCACCATGGTACATGTGGCTACCATTAATGACATGTTTGTATCATATTTTTTACAACAGGGTCATTATGCTTTTTTACATGACTGAATATTAAAAACTTAAACCTGCTTGAACCATTCTACCTTGCCGAGATTCATGTGAATCTGATTATTTATGGAGAATCAATAAAATGCGTTTTTTAAACCTTCAACCATCCTTTGTTGACCATTTTCTTTGACAAATTAGGTTATTATTCAGTACAGTTACACTGTACATGTATGTGCATTAATTTGCTATCTAAAACACTGACTTATCATTACGAGATAATAAATGCTTTAACCTCGAGTCCTTTTTCGCTTTAAAGTTTTGGGCAAGTGGAAATATTGTTTGGGCAAGTAAATTGAAAACCCACTTGCCCGACAGGGCAAGTGGTGAAAAAAATTCTTGTAGCACCCTGCAAGTGTGGAAGAACATTAGATAAGACATGTTCCCTGAAAAGCATGGCTCTTCAAATGCCTTCATATTCTAAATATGTCATGTAACATCGTAAAAATCGGGGGTAGGTTTTTTTTCGCTACGTGTTCGCGTAGTCCCATATACATCTTTCTGTGTACGGTGTTTGTAACTTTACCAAGACTTGGTCAAATTTCTTATCATTTTGATGATTCCAGAACCTTGCAATACACACAAATTCTTATATGCTAGATGATCAACCTTTTCTGATCGATTCCACACCGTTTCTTTCACAATGCAATCGCATGACCAGAACTCAACTTCATCTTTAAAACCAACATTATTAATAGGTCTAACTTAGTTCCAATCGGCAAGGTTTTGTTGCCACTACGGAGATCTAAAAACAATAATTATCTGCAAGGTTTTGTTGCCCCTCCGGAGATCTAAAAACAATAATTATCGGCAAGATTGTATTGCCCCTCCGGAGCTCTAAAAACAATCATAATCGGCAAGGTTTTGTTGCCCCTACGGAGATCTAAAAACAATCATTATCGGCAAGATTGTATTGCCCCTACGGAGCTCTAAAAACAATCATTATCGGCAAGGTTTTGTTGCCCCTACGGAGCTCTAAAAACAATCATTATCGGCAAGATTGTATTGCCCCTACGGAGCTCTAAAAACAATCATTATCAGCAAGGTTTTGTTGCCCCTACGGAGCTCTAAAAACAATCATTATCGGCAAGGTTTTGTTGCCCCTACGGAGCTCTAAAAACAATCATTATTGGCAAGACTTTGTTGCCCCTTCGGTTAAATGTTTGGCACAAAAAACGTAATGACTCGGGCTTATAAAACACCACTAAACAGTAGCATTTTGAGGACTCAAAATATCCTGTACCTGTGTATAAGGTGCACCCCCAACTTTTGATTTTTTGCAGACGGAAAAAAAGTGTGCCTTATACACAGAGATTTACGGTACTCTCTTTCTGAAGACTTAAAAATAAAACTCTGTACTTCAGTAGTGACCAGACATTTGCTCCTGTGACAATTGCTCTTGGCTTTATTTATTCAAAGATATAGGGTTAGGGTTGTAATTGGGTTAGGGTTGTGGGTTAGGGTTGTAGGTTTAGGTATAGTGTTAGGTCCAGGGTTGAAGTTCAGGAAAACCGAATATTGAGTGATTGTTGCAGGAGCAAGTGTCGTAAAACAACTTCAAAACCGAACGGTTGCTCACCGGAGTAGATACGCTCTGTGGTCATTGACCAAAGCCTCTTTGGCCACTTTGGACACAAGGTCATACTGGACGGAAGATGCCTCAGAGTGGACGATACAAGGTGCTAGGGCTCCCTCTACAGCTGGCTTGGGAAAGGCTTGGGTGAAGTTGACAACAGCCGAGTTCAAGGCTCTTGGTGCCCTCTGTGTTAAAGATGTCATCTAGAAAAATATTAAAGCAAAAAAGAAGAAACTAGATGGAATTTTGACTGCGCGCAGTCGAAAATGATGCCTCCGCCATAGAGCAATTTAAACAAGTTTGGAGTTTAAATCTCCAGTGGTTCTTGAGATATCATAACAATCTCAATGTATGGAATTTCATAAGTTGACCTCTGTGACCCTTGACCTTTGACCTACGTGCTCCAAAATCTAATCAGATTGTCTTCCTATGGTGATACACACTATCATTAAGTTTGAAGTTTAAATCTCCAGTGGTTCTTGAGATATTATGATATGGTGATACATACTATCATTAAGTTTGAAGTGAAAATTCTCCAGTGGTTCTTGAGATATCGCGATAACGATCTCAATGTATGGAATTTCATAAGTTGACCTCTGTGACCCTTGACCTTTGACCTACGTGCTCCAAAATCTAATCAGATTGTCTTCCTATGGTGATACACACTATCATTAAGTTTGAAGTTTAAATCTCCAGTGGTTCTTGGGATATTATGATAACAATCTCAATGTATGGAATTTCATAAGTTGACCTCTGTGACCCTTGACCTTTGACCTACGTGCTCCAAAATCTAATCAGATCGTCTTCCTATGGTGATACATACTATCCTTAAGTTTGAAGTTTTTACATCTCCAGTGGTTCTTGAGATATCATAACGATCTCAATGTATGGAATTTCATAAGTTGACCTCTATGACCCTTGACCTTTGACCTACGTGCTCCAAAATGTAATCAGATTGTTTTCCTATAGTGATACACACTATCACTAAGTTTGAAGTTTAAATCTCCAGTGGTTCTTGAGATATCATGATAACAATCTCAATGTATGGAATTTCATAAGTTGACCTCTATGACCCTTGACCTTTGACCTACGTGCTCCAAAATGTAATCAGATTGTTTTCCTATAGTGATACACACTATCACTAAGTTTGAAGTTTAAATCTCCAGTGGTTCTTGATATATCATGATAACAATCTCAATGTATGGAATTTCATAAGTTGACCTCTGTGACCCTTGACCTTTGACCTACGTGCTCCAAAATCTAATCAGATCGTCTTCCTATGGTGATACATACTATCCTTAAGTTTGAAGTCTAAATCTTGAATGGTTCTTGAGATATCGCGCTAACAAACTCAATACAAGGAATTTCATAAGTTGACCTCTGTGACCTGTGACCTTTGACCTACGTACTCCAAAATCTAATCAGATCGTCTTCCTATGGTGATAAATACTATTCCCGAGTCTTAAGTTTAAATCTTAAATGGTTCTTGAGATATTGTGATAACGGTCGAACGGGACGGACGTACGGACGGACAACCCGAAAACATGATGCCTCCGGCACCACCTTCGGTGGCAGAGGCATAAAAAGAGCATCTGTCTGGGCATGCCGTTCACCTACAATTTAAGGGGCAGGCCCAGTAGGCTCATCATTCACAGGTCACCATCTCCCAGCCAAAAATTAACTAAAATAAGCCCTAAACTACATACATATAATAAAAAAGAGCATCTCCTAGCCAAAAATTAACTAAAATAAGCCCTAATCTATATACAGGTACAAAAATTTAAAAATTAAGAAATAAAACGGTTGTCTGGGCCTGGTTGGCTCTTCATTCACAAGCCACAATCTCCCAACTAGGAATTAACATTAATAAGCCCTAACCTACATACACTGTACATACAATAAAAAAGTGCATCTGACTAAACATGCCGTTCACCTACAGTTTAAGGGGAGGGACCCGGTAGGCTCATCATTCACAGGTCACCATCTCCCAGCCAAAAATTAACTACAATAAGCCCTAGTCTACAGTACATACATACAATAAAAAAGAGCATTTGACAGGGCGTGCCGTTCACCTACGGTTTAAGGGGCAGGACCCGGTAGGCTTATCATTCACAGGTCACCATCTCCCAGCCAAAAATTAACTAAAATAAGCCCTAACCTACATACATACAATAAAAAAAAGAGCATCTACACTGTAACTGGGTGTGCCGTTCACCTACAATTTAAGGGGCAGGCCCGGTAGGCTCATCATTCACAGGTCACCATCTCCCAGCCAAAAATTAACTACAATAAGCCCTAGTCTACAGTACATACATACAATAAAAAAAGAGCATTTGACTGGGCGTGCCGTTCACCTACAATTTAAGGGGCAGGCCCGGTAGGCTCATCATTCACAGGTCACCATCTCCCAGCCAAAAATTAACTACAATAGGCCCTAACCTAAATACATTCATACATACAATAAAAAAGAGCATTTGACTGGGCGTGCCGTTCCACTGCCGTTTAAGGGGCAGGCCTGGTAGGCTCATCATTCACAGGTCACCATCTCCCAACCAAAACTCAACTACATCATCATCATCATCGTTTAGAGTCCATTTGTCCCACTTAGTGTGGTTGGACATTTCATTTCTTTAATGGCCGCCTGCCAAGCTTTCCTGTCTGTGGGATCCACACGACCGACACCCGATGTTTTGGCATCCTCTTCGATGGCTTCCTTCCAAGTGTTCCTGGGTCTCCCACGAGGTCTTCTTCCGGTGACCGGGAAGTTTAGAGCCCTCTGGAGCCAGTGTGTTGCCTTTCTTCTTGCCACATGTCCAAACCATCTAAGTCTATTCATCCTCATAACCTGTGCCACCCCCATCAATCCCATTGATTGAAGGAGGACTTTGTTCTTCTTTCTCTCATGAAGTGATACCCTGCGCATCCACCTCACCATCCTCATCTCAGCTTTCTCCATTCGCTGTTCACTGGATGATTTCATTGCCCATGTTTCGTTCCCATACGTCATGCATTTTCTAACACAGGCATCATACACCTTCCCTTTCACTCTTAACGGGGTCGCCCTTGAGGTGAGGAAAGGAAAGAGTTCACGAAACTTTTTCCAAGCACTTTGGATTCTTGCAGTCACAGTACAATAACTACGATAACTACAATAACTACAATAAGTCCTAACCTACATACATACAATAAAAAAGAGCATCTGGCTGGGCATGCCGTTCACCTACGGTTTAAGGGGCACGGCCCGGTAGGCTCATCATTTACAGGTCACCATCTCCCAGCCAAAAATTAACTACAATAGGCCCTAACCTAAATACATTCATACATACTATAAAAGAAGAGCATTTGACTGGGCGTGCCGTTCACCTACAATTTAAGGGGCAGGCCCGGTAGGCTCATCATTCACAGGTCACCATCTCCCAGCCAAAAATTAACTACAATAAGCCCCAACCTACATACATATAATAAAAAAGAGCATCTCCTAGCCAAAAATTAACTAAAATAAGCCCTAATCTACATACAGGTACAAACATTTAAAAATTAAGAAATAAAACGGTTGTCTGGGCCTGGTTGGCTCTTCATTCACAAGCCACAATCTCCCAACTAGGAATTAACATCAATGAGCCCTAACCTACATACACTGTACATACAATAAAAAAAGAGCATCTGACTAAACATGCCGTTCACCTACAGTTTAAGGGGCGGGACCCGGTAGGCTCATCATTCACAGGTCACCATCTCCCAGCCAAAATTAACTACAATAAGCCCTAGTCTACAGTACATACATACAATAAAAAAAGAGCATTTGACTGGGCATGCCGTTCACCTACAATTTAAGGGGCAGGCCCGGTAGGCTCATCATTCACAGGTCACCATCTCCCAGCCAAAAATTAACTACAATAAGCCCTAACCTACATACATACAATAATAAAAGAGCATCTACACTGTAACTGGGTGTGCCGTTCACCTACAATTTAAGGGGCAGGCCCGGTAGGCTTATCATTCACAGGTCACCATCTCCCAGCCAAAAATTAACTTAAATAAGCTTTAAACTACATACATACAATAAAAAAAGAGCATTTGACTGGGCGTGCTGTTCACCTACAATTTAAGGGGCAGGCCCAGTAGGCTCATCATTCACAAGTCACCATCTCCCAGCCAAAAATTAACTACAATAAGCCCTAGTCTACAGTACATACAATAAAAAAAAAAGAGCATCTAACTGGGTGTGCCGTTCACCTACAATTTAAGGGGCAGGCCCGGTAGGCTCATCATTCACAGGTCACCATCTCCCAGCCAAAAACTAACTAAAATAAGCCCTAAACTACATACATACAATAAAAAAGAGCATCTCCTAGCCAAAAATTAACTAAAGTAAGCCCTAATCTACATACAGGTACAAACATTTAAAAATTAAGAAATAAAAACGGTTGTCTCGGCCTGGTTGGCTCTTCATTCACAAGCCACAATCTCCCAACTAGGAATTAACATCAATAAGCCCTAACCTACATACACTGTACATACAATAAAAAAAGAGCATCTGACTAAACATGCCGTTCACCTACAGTTTAAGGGGCGGGACCCGGTAGGCTCATCATTCACAGGTCACCATCTCCCAGCCAAAATTAACTACAATAAGCCCTAGTCTACAGTACATACATACAATCAAAAAGAGCATTTGACTGGGCGTGCCGTTCACCTACAGTTTAAGGGGCAGGACCCGGTAGGCTTATCATTCACAGGTCACCATCTCCCAGCCAAAAATTAACTACAATAAGCCCTAACCTACATACATACAATAAAAAAAGAGCATCTAACTGGGTGTGCCGTTCACCTACAATTTAAGGGGCAGGCCCGGTAGGCTCATCATTCACAGGTCACCATCTCCCAGCTAAAAAATAACTAAACTAAGCCCTAAACTACATACATACAATAAAAAAAGAGCATCTCCTAGCCAAAAATTAAATAAAATAAGCCCTAATCTACATACAGGTACAAACATTTAAAAATTAAGAAATAAAACGGTTGTCTGGGCCTGGTTGGCTCTTCATTCACAAGCCACAATCTCCCAACTAGGAATTAACATCAATAAGCCCTAACCTACATACACTGTACATACAATAAAAAAAGAGCATCTGACTAAACATGCCGTTCACCTACAGTTTAAGGGGCGGGACCCGGTAGGCTCATCATTCACAGGTCACCATCTCCCAGCCAAAATTAACTACAATAAGCCCTAGTCTACAGTACATACAATAAAAAAAAAGAGCATCTAACTGGGTGTGCCGTTCACCTACAATTTAAGGGGCAGGCCCGGTAGGCTCATCATTCACAGGTCACCATCTCCCAGCCAAAAACTAACTAAAATAAGCCCTAAACTACATACATACAATAAAAAAAGAGCATCTAACTGGGTGTGCCGTTCACCTACAATTTAAGGGGCAGGCCTGGTAGGCTCATCATTCACAGGTCACCATCTCCCAGCCAAAAATTAACTACAATACAAAGGGTACATGTAGGCCCTAACCTAAATACATTCATACATACTATAAAAAAAAGAAATTTGACTGGGCGTGCTGTTCACCTACAATTTAAGGGGCAGGCCCGGTAGGCTCATCATTCACAGGTCACCATCTCCCAGCCAAAAATGAACTAAAATAAGCCGTAAACTACATACATAAAATAAAAAAAGAGCATCTAACTGGGTGTGCCGTTCACCTACAATTTAAGGGGCAGGCCCGGTAGGCTCATCATTCACAGGTCACCATCTCCCAGCCAAAAATTAACTAAAATAAGCCCTAAACTACATACATACAATAAAAAAAGAGCATCTAACTGGGTGTGCCGTTCACCTACAATTTAAGGGGCAGGCCCGTTAGGCTCATTATTCACAGGTCACCATCTCCCAGCCAAAAATTAACTAAAATAAGCCCTAAACTACATACATACAATAAAAAAAGAGCATCCAACTGGGTGTGCCGTTCACCTACAATTTAAGGGGCAGGCCCGGTAGGCTCATCATTCACAGGTCACCATCTCCCAGCCAAAAATTAACTAAAATAAGCCCTAAACTACATACATACAATAAAAAAAGAGCATTTGACTGGGCGTGCCGTTCACCTACAATTTAAGGGGCAGGCCCAGTAGGCTCATCATTCACAGGTCACCATCTCCCAGCCAAAAATTAACTAAAATAAGCCCTAAACTACATACATACAATAAAAAAAGAGCATCTAACTGGGTGTGCCGTTCACCTACATTTTAAGGGGCAGGCCCGGTAGGCTCATCATTCACAGGTCACCATCTCCCAGCCAAAAACTAACTAAAATAAGCCCTAAACTACATACATACAATAAAAAAAGAGCATTTGACTGGGCGTGCCGTTCACCTACAATTTAAGGGGCAGGCCCAGTAGGCTCATCATTCACAGGTCACCATCTCCCAGCCAAAAACTAACTTAAAGGTAAAGACCAGTAATGGTCATGCGATTGCATTGTGAAAGAAACGTTGTGGAATCGATCAGAAAAGGTTGATCATCTAGCATCTAGCATCTGCAAGGTTCTGGAATCATCAAAATGATAAGAAATTTGGCCCATTCTTCGTAAAGTTACAAGCACTATACACAGAAAGATGTATATGGGACTACCCTATCTCTCTCACCAGACCATGAGAGAGATAAATTTACCAAATATATGAATTAGTAGGCAGTTTCCCGGCAAATTTTTTATCATCATGTATTAGTCAAAACATATTCTTTCACATGATTGGTAATGAGAGCTTCCATTTCATTTTTTGAAATTGGGGCGTTGCCAATACTGGTCTTTACCTTTAAATAAGCCCTAAACTACATACATACAATAAAAAAAGAGCATTTGACTGGGTGTGCCGTTCACCTACAATTTAAGGGGCAGGCCCGGTAGGCTCATCATTCACAGGTCACCATCTCCCAGCCAAAAATTAACTACAATAAGCCCTAACCTCCATACATACAATAAAACTAGATGGAATTTTGACTGCGCGCAGTCGAAAATGATGCCTCCGCCATAGTGCAATTTAAACTAGAGAGTTACTTGACCTATTGTGACCTAAGGTCAAGCCGAAAATTGAGAAACTTGTCATTTTGTGTACAAAATGAATGGCAAAGTGAAGTTTCTAGTTTGGTCTATAAATCAGCATAATTTTACTCTTTAGAGTTTAGTTATCATTTATTCAAGCAAAATATTGATACGTAACAACCTCAAGTATCAGAAGTCCTAAAACAATACAATACATAAGATTAAGAATTAATAACAATAGAATACAAAAGAAGTTCATAAAACAATGAAATACATAAGAATTGAAATAGACATGGACAATTTTTTTATGTGATAATGCCCGATAGGCTTTTTAGAAACTTTTTGCCACAAAATCAACTCTGTAAAAGCTTTATTTATGTAATTGTTAATAAAAATCATTATTCATGAATTTGATTTGCATAAATTAGCATAATTGATAAAATAAGTAATTTTCAGCAAAATTATAGTGAGGTCTCTTCCTTTATGCAATTGCATAAATTAGCATAATTGATAAAATAAGCAATTTTCAGCAAAATAATAGTGAGGTCTCTTCCTTTGCGCAATTTCTCAAGACGCGTGCCAAATTTCGAGGCATTCAGCCCCTCCCCCCCCCAGTCAGGGAGGTGCTCAAAATAGCCCAGTTAAGTACGGGTTAAGTAACGGAACATATTTCAAGTGGTTCTTGACATATTATGACAAGTCCTATACATGTAGTCTGAATTTTTCAAGTTGACCTCTATGACTTTTGACATACATGTACTCCAAAATCTAATCTGATCGTTTTCCTATGGTGATATACTATCCTTAAGTTTGAAGTTTAAAATCTCAAATGGTTCTTGAGATATCACGATAACGAGCTGAAAGACATGGAATTTCACAAGTTGACCTCTGTGACCCTTGACCTACGTGCTCCAAAATCTAAACAGATCGTCTTCCTATGGTGATACATACTATCATTAAGTTTGAAGTGAAAATTCTCCAGTGGTTCTTGAGATATCGCGATAACGATCTCAATGTATGGAATTTCATAAGTTGACCTCTGTGACCCTTGACCTTTGACCTACGTGCTCCAAAATCTAATCAGATTGTCTTCCTATGGTGATACATACTATCCTTAAGTTTGAAGTTTTTACATCTCCAGTGGTTCTTGAGATATCATGATAACAATCTCAATGTATGGAATTTCATAAGTTGACCTCTATGACCCTTGACCTTTGACCTACGTGCTCCAAAATGTAATCAGATTGTTTTCCTATAGTGATACACACTATCACTAAGTTTGAAGTTTAAATCTCCAGTGGTTCTTGAGATATCATGATAACAATCTCAATGTATGGAATATCATAAGTTGACCTCTGTGACCCTTGACCTTTGACATACGTGCTCCAAAATCTAATCAGATCGTCTTCCTATGGTGATACATACTATCCTTAAGTTTGAAGTTTAAATCTCAAATGGTTCTTGAGATATCGCGCTAACAAACTCCATACAAGGAATTTCATAAGTTGACCTCTGTGACCTGTGACCTTTGACCTACGTACTCCAAAATCTAATCAGATCGTCTTCCTATGGTGATAAATACTATTCCCGAGTCTTAAGTTTAAATCTTAAATGGTTCTTGAGATATTGTGATAACGGTCAAACGGGACGGACGTTCGGACGGACAACCCGAAAACATGATGCCTCCGGCACCACCTTCGGTGGCGGAGGCATAAAAAAGTACTTAGCATATAAATCATTCAAGTTCAAGTGTATCTTTTTATTTCCACACATCTCAATTTTTTTTAAAAGGTTGTAAGTGCGAAACATTGTACAATTGAAAACACAAGTATTAATGTCCAGGATTATAACATCTTAATAACCATATGCAATATAGCCTGTATCATCAAATGATGAAAAATAACAAAGTATTCTTGTTTGTTTCAAGCTGAAACATCATTAACAATTATTCAAGGAATCTTTACCTTCCAAATCTCCTCTGATCTTCTTCATGTCACTTTTCTAATCCGAATCATTTTCTTTGGAACTACAATCTATTCTTACATGGGCTACTTTGAATGCCCTGCATGCCTCTCCTTGATTTTAGGTTTAGCCACGAAGCCATTTTACTGTTGAACATATCATTGATGATTGTATTACACTTCTTATTATTTTTGTTGCTCATATCGAGGGGTCAGTGACACAAAGACTTAACTCCATTTTGAGAAAAAGTGGTTTATGTGTCACTGAGCACTTGGGCCTTGAGAAGTCAAGTCTCTGTTTTACTAGCCATTGACTTCAATGGGGTGTTGGGTGGAGTTAAGTCTTTGTGTTTCCTGAACATTTTGATATCAAATACTCATTTTGGCAAAATATGGAGTTACGTCTTTGTGTCACTCAACCCTCGATATGTAGTTTTTTTTTAAAGTCACATTTATATGATCGTTTGTGAAATAAAGATACAATAAAATGAAATGGAAATTTACCTTGTCCAAGAAAAGTTCCTTGGCCAGAATCCCTGTAGCTGTATAACTGAACAGATCGGCTTTTGGGGTGATACTCTGACATACGACAGGCAAGGTTGATAGATCAATGGCACTCATATCTATGTAGACACATACCTCTGAGAGCTGTAGAGGATATAGAGAGAGAGAGAGAGAGAGAGAGAGGGGGGAGGGAGGGAGGGAGGGAGGGAGAGAGAGAGGGGGTGAGGGAGAGAGGAAGAGAGGTAGAGAGAAAATAAGAGAGAGAGGGGAAGAGAGAAAGGAAGAGAGAGAATGAAGAATGAGAGAGAGAGAGAGGGGGAGAGAGTTGTCATTTTTTAATGGTAATGGAAAGCAGAGTAAGACCTTCAAGTATCTTCACAAAATGACAAATGGTAAAACACGAAAGAATGGGCGCTCACAATTTTTTCCCCAGTTTAGTTCTATAAACCTCAGATGGAAAACACTGGATTCCCCTGAATTGAAGGTCCCATGCATAGAAGAGTATACACTTTACATATAAAAACCAATAAATTCTTTGTACAAGAGAAAGTTATAAATCCCAAGTATTCGTCAAAGAATTACACAACTATATCAACATGTGTAGGGTTGCCTGTAATTCTTTTTAGATATTGGAAAACTGAACCAGTCTACCAGAACCTTTTTTTCTCTCGCAGAGATGCAAGAGTAAACAAAGATCAGCCAAATAACATTGACTAAATTACCTGAGCTGATGTACAAGTAGCCATAAACCTGAGAGCTTCTTTGCAGAGCTCTGTATGTCCTGTACTCCCTTCGCTGTGCCATGCTGACTTCAATGCATCTAGCTGCATCTGAAAAAGCAAAACAAAAATGATGATGTTGTAACTGAAGACTAATTCTAAGAAAATATCATTATGGAGGAACATAGTAGTGGGCTCTCATGAGGAATTTGACACCATTCAGGTGTCAATAACTAGGATCAGCTTTTAGTTTTATGACTAACAGGCCTTATGTCATACTTTGCATTTTCAACCAATCGCCCCATATGGAAAGTCATTACCTTACATTTCCCTCAACCGAAGACTCTTAGATAGCCCGAAGGAGATTTCTACGGGAAGACTTCTACACCCATTAATGGTATTTCCACTGAGTATGGTCTCGGCGAATTATGACCCACTGCAAATGGAAACTGACGACCATCTCCCTTTAACATTAAAGGGATCGCTTAAAAATGCAATGTTAAATCTGAGATGCATGGCCCTACGTGTTATCAGTGTCTGTGATATGGTGTTACATTGAAGCCCTAAAAAAAATTCCGCTTCAAAATGACCAAGAAGTGCCTCAAAGGTAAAAACCTTTGAGACTGGTTATACCATACTCGTTTTCCCCAATAGACTGTAGTGTTGTGAAAGCCGTTTGGCAAACGCAAAATTTGATTTTGATTTTCAATCATAAATATCTTGATAATCAGACAGGTGATCGGCTTGTAAAAGTCATGAGGTTCCTGACTGGCCTAAAGGTTTACAATTATCATTGCAGCATGTTCTAAATCAAGAATTTTGTTAAAGGATCTGAGACAAAGTTACCGGATCCCTTTAAAGACACTTATCTACCTTTAACTGAATAGCTTGGTACTAAACAAACCTTTACGTCAGGACCAAGTTCTTTGATGAATTTCATTTCTTCACTGTCCACAGGGATACCCTTGGTAACATCATCATCTGCATTCACAGCCTTTTCCTCCCCCTCCATGACATCATCAACATGGCCACTACCACTCCTGCTCTTCACTCTACTACCCTCCCCTCCCTCATGAAGTTCACACTCTTCTACTATCCTATCTAGCACTTGATCATCCAGTACAGGGGGAGGTTGAACAAGGGCCTCCTTGGCGTTTCCTCCACCAGCATCTTGCTTCAATCTCTTTGGTCTATGGAGGTCCGGCCCAGACTGATCTTGTTCGGCTAGCAAGTCAAATGGATGGTTTGCTTGATTCTGCTGAAACTCATCCTTGGAAGTTCTTTTGGGAAGTTTTGTCAAGTTGCCTTTGGCCTTAGTTCGAATCCCATCTGCAATGCCACTCTCTCTGAAATGTTCCACGAAGCATCGGAACCCGCTGGACCCTGGTGCCATATTTGACAACAATCCTATACTGTCATTGCTAACAGCCCCATCCCCTTGCCGACGATTCTCCACCTCGGAGACCGACTCGCAGACTTTCCTGAACAGTCCTTTAGACCGCTCCGACAAGAACCCTGCTTTCATTGGTACGACCTTTGATCTCTGGCTGTGAGGTTTGGGGAGGAATGTTGCAATGTGATTTTGCAGTTCATGTAGATGGAACTGCATCCAGTGGTCAGTGAGGCGGCCATCTTGGATGCACCTGGTCAGCTTCTGTAGAAGAGGAAGTGGTATTTCTGATGCATGATGGGAGATCACAGCTAGGAGAGTTCGCTGGAGCTGCATGGGTAGTCGGAAGAATCTGTAGGTCCTTCAAGTGAATTACAGCAGGAAAAAAAGAGGGATAAGCAACTCCATAAATTAAATTGATAAAGAATTGACTGAACCCTATGTTAACTGGGGGGGGGGGGGGGGGGTCAATTTGACCCCCCCCCCCCCCGTAGAAATTTCGAGACTACTCCGAAACCGCGGCAGATATAACATTTTCCTTTCATGACTTTTTACTTTCGAGTCTTACGCATCTTTTAAAACAATTTTTTGGAAAATCGGACCTACGGTTACAAGGTCACGTGACCTTTTGTCTTTGCATGTCAGCCCGAAAATCGCTCATTTTCGTGATTTGTGTACAAAACATATGTAAAAGTCATTTTTCCTAAAACTAGATAAAACATTGGTTATTCAGTCTTGTTTAAAGTGTAGATGTTTTTTGGGGGGTCAAAATAGTTGAATTGTAGTTATAAATGAAATAAAACAACAAAAACAATAAAATACATAAGTTAAAAAAACAATGAAATACATAAGAAATTATAAAAACAAGAGATAAGGAATAACCTAGCTCTTCCAATTTTTTGTGTTATATTATTATTCCAAATGGTGTAATAAATATATATAGTGAAAAAGAATACTTAAATATGAATAATCTATGATTTGTGGGCAGAAATGTGGATTGTATGACCTTATTTGCATAAATAACCATAAATATGCAAATGAGTGAATTTTTCAAAAATTTGAAATTACCATAGTATTCTATACACTTCACTTGACATGCATGCAAATTTTCGCGGCGATCGGCGGTGAAACGGCCCCCCCCCCCCCAGTAAAAACCTGGTCTGAAATAGCCCAGTTAAGATAGGGTTAAATGTCTCAACATAAAAAACAAACATCCAACAGAAACCTTTGAATAAAAGATTTGCTCATTTAATGTAAAACTATAACATCATAAAGAAAGGATAAGTACTGGTGTTCCCAAGTTGAAGTAAAGCTTATTTGTTTATAGCAAATGAAGAAGTAAAAAAAAAAAAAAAAATCAATTTTTAAAATTATCTTAACTGTTTAAAATCACTCACGACTTCACCAGTCCCAGACCTGCCAACCTCTGGACTTCAAAAACTGTATTCTTAAATCCCTAAAGTTGTATTTTACTGACAAAAGTTGTATTCTTAAAAATAAACACGGACTGTTACGCGGATCAATGCCTCTTACAGTTCCTACATACAGGAAGAAATTTGTTTTAATGGATCATTGGTTGAATATGCATGATTTCGTCACGACTGGTGTGGTCAATGAACCACTGAACATCCCCAAATTGCAGATGTGAGATGCTTGTAGGATACTTTACAGGAGAGAATGGGCTATTTGCCATTGAAAATGGCACACAAACACACAAAAAAAAAATATATATATTAAAAAAAAAAAAAAAAAAAAAGAAAAAAAACACTTCTAAAAATCGTACGAAATACGATAAAATTGTACTGGTTGGCAGCTCTGAGATGTACGACCTACAAGATAAATCTTACCCTTCTAACGATGTTGCCCCATCCTGCCTTGTATCATCCACTGCTACCAATGAGCCCAGAAGCCCAAACCAATCCGGGGCCGCCTGAATGCAAGGAGAGGTTGATGGAAATAACGTCTTTTCGCCATGGCAACTGCCTCCTTCCATTTTCTGGAGCCATCTTTCTGCTCCCTCCGTTCCGCAGCTGTTGAAATCCGGCTGTTCGGCTGTGAGGAGGTCATGCCAGTTAGGAGGGAAGAGGTGTAGGACATCTCTAGTGTTCATCTCAACAGAGTTCTTGCTTTGGGTTGTATTTTTCATCTGGCTGCATCATCTGATAAACAAACAGGATATTGAAAACATTTATTTTCAACATGTATCAACAAAAGATATTTTGCCTTGAATGAAAATAATGCAAAAAATGAGAATTCCCTCTAAATTTTTCTCAAGTAGATATTACCATCTAGTCAGGACAGATCCAGAGACAAATTGTAAAATATTACACATTTTACAATACATAATTAAAATCATATTTCTGATTTAAAATATAAAAAAATGTCAGCGGCCATCTTGAAAAATAGCCCGACTGTCAGGGGAAATGTACAGAGCGGCCATTTTGAGCGGCTATTTTGAAGAAGAAGAAGAAAAAAAAAAAGGGCCTCCTCCTTCCTATTTTTCAAAAAAACAGGACGATAAACATGTTTTTGTTCTATTTGGTTTAAGAAAGATAACGACTTTCAAATGATGACCAAAAGGCATTATCTGAACAATTGAAAAGATGAGTTCATTTTTGTTATGTTTACAACTGTAAGTAACAGGGGTGATATAGAGCACTAACCGGTAGACCCTACATAATTTTTTTTTTTTTTTCCCCCTCAACCACGCCTCCCCAATCCCCCCCACCCTAGCCTCTTGTCGATGCCCTCGCGCTGTTGGAGTCTCTAAATTCTGACGAGCGAAGCGAGTCAGAGAAACCGAGGCGCTTGCGCGGAGGGCCTCTTGACAAGTGATCTGAATTATATATTCATGAGACCCGATTTCCTACTGAATTATGCATGTCTAGATCGCAGCGATTGTGTGTGTGTACGTGTGTGTTCGGGATTGCCCAACTAGGCTAGTCTGCAAGCACAGACCCTAATTTGACACTTTATCAAAAAATCATTGTGCCTTGAGAGAAGCCTAGCCCAGTTATCTACTGGTACCTACTGGTTGTACCAATATAGGTCAGGAGCAGCTATAGTACGTGGCATATGGTAGTCTTATAGTGCACACTCTCTTGTACGACTGACCAGGGTTTGTGCTTGCAGACTACAACTAGGCGGCCAGTCTCGCTCTCACAGAGGGAATTCGCACGGAGCGGTAGATATTACGTCATAGTAGCTCTCTCTGATTGGATGACTTTCACCGAACTCTGCTGGGTCGGAATATTCGCCAAACAAAGTAAAACATAAGAAATTCAGATCACTTGTCAAGAGGCCCTCCGCGCAAGCGCCTCGGTTTCTCTGACTCCAGGCCTTCCAGGGAATAATTTTCCTCAAATTTTTTGATTAGCAATTTCAGCCGATGGATAAATATTTCAAATGAAACTCTGTCCATTTCTATGGAAGAAAATTGCTACACAAAAGATATTTTGTATAGCAGTCATGCAAAAATGCATAGCAAATTGCGATGCGATACCAGGAAAATTATTCCCTGGACTCGCTTCGCTCGTCAGAATTTAGAGACTCCAACAGCGCGAGGGCATCGACAAGAGGCTACCCCCACCCTTGAGTAAAAAAGTAAAAAAGAAAAAAAGAAGGATTTGGAGGGAGGGGGGGGGGGGGAATGGCATCTAACAATCTTCCCCCTTTGGAGTAAGACAAATTGGGAAATACTAGGGAAAAATAGAGAAAATAAGGGAAAAACAGAGAAAAATTGGGTAAAAAAAATCAGGATAAAATCAGGAAGATAAAAGAAGAAAAAAAATTGGGTGAAGAAAAAAAATTGGGTAAAAAAAAAAAAACTGCTTTTTAAAGGGAAAGTCCACCCTGAAATTAAGTTAGTTTTAATAGGAGTAGAAAAATAAGAGAAACAAGTCAGTGAAAGTTTGAGCAAATTCCGATTAAAAATAAGGAAGTTAGGATATTTTAAGTTGTGATCAATCAAACACAAATTGGCAACTCTATGACGTAAAATGCGAGCTCAACTTCCATTTGCTTAGTACTAAAAAAATCTAAAATTTTCATTTTCCCTCAAGAAAAATTTTAACCATACATGCACCCTAAATATGTTTCTATACTCCCCCTGCAAGGAACAAATATATATTCCGTCATCAATAACGAAGAAAACATGATTTTATGGAATATTATGCACAAAGCAAATGAAGGAGAGCTCGTATAATACGTCACAGAGTTGCCAATGCCAATTTGTACTTGATTGATCACAACTTCAATAATTCATAACTTTCTTATTTTCATTCAGAATTTGCTCAAACTTTCACTCACCTGATTTTCTTATTATTCTGCCTCTATCGAAACAAACTTATTTTGGGGGTGGACTTTCCCTTTAATTTTATATAATAAGTAGGGAATCTCAACCCTGGAGTTACGGGTAAAAGCAGGTGCGTACGCAGGGTTAACCCCGTCCTTTGGTATTTGTTATGTGTGTATTTTGGAGGAAAACCTCCCCCCCCCCCCCCCCCTTTAGTAATTTAAAAAAAAAAAAAAAAAATTATACCAATGGCTGACCTAAAAAAGTTGACCTCCCCCCCCCCCCAACGGAGCAAAATGTCAAATTTTCAAATTTCGAGACCCCAAAAAAGTGGGCGCTAGTGTAGTTTCGTATCCATTTTTTTAAGCAGTTTTTTTACCAGTTTAATATCCATTCTTAGCAAAGGAATTTTAGCCCAATTTTTTCCTCATTTTAATCATAATCATATATTGCATTTACCACCTGAATTTGGATCACATCCGACATCGGAAAGCCTCCGTTTAGGGCTTCGATGTCGACGTCGTCGCTCAGTACCGTCTCCGCGCTATAGCTTTGCAACGCAAACTTAAGCTATCAGTCTAAAATTATGCAAACTTCGCGTATGCTTTATGGTATTACGCACATGCACGATACCATAAATTATACGAGAAGCTTGCATAATTTTAGACTGATAGCTTCAGTTTGAGTTGCAAAGCTATAGCGCGGAGACGGTACTGAGCGACGACGTCGACATCGAAGCCCTAAACGGAGGCTTCCCGATGTCGGATGTGATCCAAATTCAGGTGGTAAATGCAATATATGATTATCAGGGGATTATGATTAAAATTAGGAAAAAATTGGGCTAAAATTCCTTTGCTAAGAATGGATATGAAACTGCTAAAAAATGGACACAAAACTACAGTAGCGCCAAAAAGTGTCCTCTTACCCTCCCCGCTTATTCAGCGGCTGGCCGAGTTGTGCGAAATTTTCGGCCCGATTTCAAAATGTTAAAACCCCCCGCCTTGAAAATATCCTGGGTACGCGTCTGGATCAAAGTCTTGATATAATTCAAAATTAGCGCCACTAAATTCTAAGCCCTCGACTTTCTACTAATTTCTATTTCCTAATAATAGACTATTTTTTTCTTTCTATTTTGTCAAAAATCTATTTATTGCACATGCAGCATGCATCATTTCCATTCAATGAAAATGGCAAAAACTTGCAGAAAAAAGCAATTCCACAGAATTTCAACATGAACTAGCCAAGAACTTGTGCTCACCATCTGACCATCTAAGGCCTAACTTAGAGTCTACACAAATAATAAATCACTGAACAGAATTCAATCAATTCACAAGTCCACTTTCCTGCAAACTCTCACTAGTTTCAGCCAGCACAGTGCACTACCACCACTGGCACCAGTAATTAGCCGCAACGCAAGGGCAGCTCTCGCCCGAGGTTCCGCTTGGATGCCGAGGCACAACAACAAAAACAACGACCACGTGCACAAAATCCTGCAGAGTCAGCGGATCTTCAGCGCAAGCAAGATGACAGTCTTTCATCGGGCAACGCGAGCATGGCCTATTGGGTAGCTGAACGCTGTGCTACACGTGCATGCTAGGGATCCTCACACACTGACATCTTCACAAATTTTTCAAGCATTCACACTGATATAACGAAATATTGCAATATTAAACATGCAAGATATGTAAATGAAAGAATGGAGAGAGCCTTGATAAAAGACTTACTTACCTAAATTTGATAAATCAATTACTGAAAAGTGTAATTTCTGCAATTTTATCTCTCCGACTCGACGGCGTGGTTTGAAAGTTAGCGCCGCATCAATCCAGGTATAACGTAGCTGATCGAGTGCTAACAATATTTAGTGCATTCCTCCGCCCGCTGCTTTTCCTACGCCTAGCTAGCTAACCTACAAAGTAGTTCTAGACTAGATATATCTACCCCCCCCCCCCCCAATAAACACATTGAGAAATGGCTCACAATTCATGAAATATTTTCCATGAATCGAATATCTCATTGCTTAATGCTAACTAACATTTGGAAAAATAAAGTTCAAAAACTAATTTAAAAAGAAGTAATTTGTACATGTATTATCACTTCCTGGGTAATCTGTTGAGTGTTGTGTAATCATCCCCGGCAATCATCCACGACTCGAATCTAGGCCTAGTTCACAGTCAAATAACATTTTATTCATTACATTTATATTCATTCTTTAAGGATGGAAATGTGTGTAAAGCTTAGATCTTTTGATGTAGCACGACGAATAAACTCATACATGCATATTCGCAAGATGCACTATTCCGTCATGTCGGTCAGGAATTCTGCTCCTTCTCAACGGAACGACGATAGACTGCCATGCCTGGAGGTTCGGCGACATCGGGGAGCTGGACTCCGTAACGAAAAGGGTGTGACTGTAGCTCCTCGTCGTTGTTCGTCCACTTCTTTATACACTCCTCCAGCAGAAGGAGAAAATGTTCCATTTGTTTTGAAACCTGAATTAGATTTTAACGCATTGCTTCGAGACGGAGAGAAGTTCGAGAAGAGTATTGAAGCAAGGAATATGGAGCTGGAGGGCATCAATATTCCAGAAATGGTGTGTTTATTTACTTCTGAATTTAGAATTGCAATTGAATTTCAACCGAGTTCTGTAACAAAAGGAAAATACATGGTGTGATGATGTATGATGCCTGGTGATGATGATGAATATAATGGAGATGAGATGATGATAATCATACATTTTAATCATATGATAATGATGAAGATGATGAATTATAAAAGATTAGGAAGAAGCAGCAGAAGGAGAAGGAGGAGGAGGAGAAGAAGAAGAAGGAGGAGGAGGAGGAGCTATAACTATAAGAGGAGGAGGAATAATTACAAATAACAAGAAGAAGAAGATGAATGAGATACAAAGAGAAAGGACTGATTTTATAACGAGTAATATAACTTTCTTAGACTAAAAATTAAGATAAGATCTGTATTCTTAATATACTGACACATTACATAATCAATAATCTGATGATCTAGAAACATTCAAGATCTAATAGATAGAAATTTCCAAATTTAATTCTGTGTCTTATGAAAAGGATCATAATTAAAATAAACAGTTCAGTAATTAATAATAGTTCAATAAAGCTCTGGAAAACATTTTTGTTTTAATTCTCTTTTGTATTTTTTAGATTTCTATCTGGAAGGAGGTTTGTGATCTTGAAGAACAGAAGAATCAGATGGAGAGAAAGAAAAAAGCCCTCAACACAAGAGCCAAAGAACTCAGTAAACAGGTGACGGCTGGTGTTCTGGCATATCCAGGATTAGGTTTAAAACTTTAAAAAAACATGGGGGTGGGGGGGTAATTTTAAGTGTTTGTGAACAAATAAATTTGTCTAAACAAAATCTAAACTTTTTGGGAGAGGGCATATTTTGGTATGTATTATAGCTATGGCGCATATAGGGTTGTAAAGAAGGGGTTGGCACTAGTTAAGGCTAGTTGTGTGCCCCCCCCCCCCCCATCCCCAAAAGGGGGAGGGGTGGGGAAGGGGGAGAGTGAGAGAGAAGAAAGAAAACAAATCTCTACTCCTGGGTTTAATGGGTTGATGAATGATCAAAGCTTCACATTTTTCTACACACTATAACTTAATTGACTATGCATTTTCAATCTAATGTGAATGAAAATGAAAATAAAGTATTCTCGATTTGTGTTTCTCTTTCAGAAAGGGGGATCTGTGACCAAAGAGAAAGTCCAACTAGAGGGCCGGAAAATCAGAGAGGAAGTGAAAAGTTTAAATGTAAGTTGCTAATAACTCAGTGTTATTTAGGGTACGCATATGCGTGTTCCCAGCACCCCCCCCCCCTTTTCAGCATAAGTTCAGTGTAAAGTCAATACGGGTAGATCTTTTTCTTTGTTACGATCCAGAGATTTTGGGAACCCGCATGTGGTCCCTCCGTTCCCGGAATGGGGGGGGGGGGGTGGGGGGTCGGGGCTAAAACTAACTTGTACCTGTTGATCATGCAGATAATCTGCTCATCTAGCAGCATTTGTGAGAATAAAACTTTAATTTCTCTCTGGTAAACCATGAGTTGTATTAGATTGTATTCCAGAGGTTTAAAGTAAATTATTACACCAGAATCATATTCAATTTTAATTTGTTTATGTTAATTCAAAAATTTGTTTTTGTGGCCCTGACCATATATTTGCTTTGTATGTACTCTATTTTTATTTTTGTACGTTTTGCCTTGACATGTTCATGGTTCAATAAATTCAATTCAATTCAATGGATGACCATAATTTTTGTTAATTCGCAGACTTCCCTGAATGGCCTGATGAACAGATTATATCCTCTAGCCCTGGCTTTGCCCAATTCTCTACACAATGCCGTGGTGAGCAAATGATTAACATATGATTTAGCTTTGTTACAAATTCCTCTTCTTCTCTTCTATTGTTAATCTTCACAGGGCTATGCAGCCTATCACAAAGATCTGTAGAAAGATTACCAATTTTTTTAATTTTTTTTATTTATTTATTTATTTATTTTTTTTTTTTTGGGGGGGGGGGGGGGTTGATGGTTTGTTTAACCTGTTTAATCTGTGAGGCAAAACGCTGAAAAATGACAACGACTCAGGTTTTTACGGGAGTGTCAGTTTATTTCAGAGTCATAACCATCAAGGGCAATGCACTCTGTCTTTGATGAACAAATCTTTACTCCTTCCACAGCTCTATTCCGTTCTTCTTTCCTAGACTCCGTGAAAACTGTACATGATAAAGCATAACAGGAATGCATGATAAGTATGTGTTCATGAATATAAAGTTCACAATATTATAGCTATTCTATTAAATCAAAAGCATTGTCTGAATTCAGTGTCTAGCTCCTTTCCATGTTTGCTTGTAAATCTTATATTTTACTTCATAATTCTCGTTCGAGAATATATGAGAACGCGCATGCGAAGACCATCGAAATCCAACAATGATGATCTATTATAAATGTACAGCATAAAAATCCTTTCAATGACAGATATGGTCAATGCTAAATGACATCATACAATACCTTTTCTGAATGGTTTTACTTCTTTTTCATTTAGCCTGTTGGTGATGAGAATGTTGTGAAAGAAACAGTTGGAGATGGACTTGTATCACTAGAGTCTAGAAAAGAACACCCGTCTATCTCTACACAGTAAGTATTCAATAGAGATTACACAACTCAATTTGTAAGGTGGTTAGTGTTGAAAATGGTATGCAATAAAACGAGTTTTAACTTGCTGATAGACAGTAGTTTGCTATTGTTATTCACAAACTTGTATATTCAAAATGGAGTAGTAGACATAATAACTGCAAAAGTAGTTGTAGTAGAAGAAGTAATAGTAGCAAAAAAGGTGGGGGTAGTCGGCACTATACTTCATAATTTTCACCTTTGCAAATTGTATGGACACTTGCTGTAAATAACAGGGAGGTAATGTGGAGGGTGGGGGAGGGTGGCAAAGAGTTATGTATCAATTGTAAATACAATTGTAAGTGTTCCCAATGTTCTGCATGTGCTCTATATTTTCATTGTTTTTGTAATGCCCTTCTGTTTTTTTAAGTCTTTATGGAACCACTCCTGCATTAGTTTAACCCATGGAATACTGAACTCTCTCGTCATGAAACTTATAAGCTATTGAAATCATTGCATTTGCTTGGCTATTAGTAACTTTGTCATAGAAGTCAATTGCCACAGTTGTTATTGGTAAACAGTTTATGAAACGGGGCCCATGTTCCCATGCAATATGGCTTAAAGGGATTGGGTATCATTGTCTCAGATTCTGAAACAAAATCCTGGATTTAGCTCATGCTGCAATGATAATCATAAACCTTTAGGTCAGTCAGGAACCCCATGACTTTTCCCAGCTTATCTTCTGTCTGATTATCAAGATATTTATGATTGGAAATCGAAGATTAAAAATTTGTTTTCCCAACGGTTTTTATAACACTACAGTCTATTGGGGTGAATGAGTATGGTAAAAACTGGTCACTCAAAGATGTTTAATTTTTTGAGGCACTTCATGATCATTTCGAAGCGCAATTTTGTTTAGGGCTTCAATATTACACCATATCACAGACACTGATAATACATAGGGCCATGCATCTCATATTTTAAATTGTTAAAGAATGCCTTTAAAGAGTAATGTCACTATTTCTTTCCTTACAGTCACCCTATGGTTCACCCAGGCTACTGTTACACTGAGGGAGAGCTGGTCATCAAGGAATTAGACCTCGTTTTATCGGCTGCATCTCATCTCACATCCAATGGCTTTACTAGATTCGCTATGCCTGATATGTATAAACCACTTTTAAGGGTAAGCTTAATGATGATAATAATAGTGATACTGATTAATAATGACCATACTAAGCCCATAGTATCAGCACTGTCCCAGGCTGACAATGTTCTTGTATTATACCCGCCGAACAGCCAAGCCAATTGACAATCTAGTTTAAAAGAGTACATAATAATAATATGTATCTTGTTTAACCAGGATAGCCTCATCATTATTAATACTGTTCCGTGAGGGCCATATTATTACCCTGGCTTTAGCTGAGCTACCATGATATGGTGCTCAAGCATTCAAGGAGCTTCTTCCTACCAGGTACCCATTTACAACACCTGAGTGGAGAGTGGCAAATGTAGATTAATATCTTGCCAAAGGCATTAGCCCGGGATGGGATTTGAACCCTGTACCTTGTGATCTACAGTCATGTGTCTTATCTACTAGACCCCTACACCTCTGAACACCTCTTTGTATGAAGCTTATGTGTTCTCATAGTTTTTTAATTTCTTTTTAATATATTCCTTTATTGACAGGAAGCTCTAGGCTTGAATGCTGAGGAATTTAATGAGGTAAGAGTATTATTGAAAGTGTTTGGACCAGAATTTGTCATTATCTTGAGATGCAATCTGGGGTTGAACTACACAGTTGCATTGATCTCGCAACATTAGATGTAGGAGAAATTACAAATACATTTCATAAAAGTAACATGATTAATATTTGATTCATTTTGTGATAAGTAGAGGAAGTTTACAGTCAAACATATCTTAGTAGACACCTGTCTGTAAAGACCACCTGTCTGTGGTGGCCACCTACACTATCTTGCTCTATGATTTATTGTAGAACACATCGTAGAACCTGTCTAGAAAGACCACTCGTGTCAAAGGATAATCATTTCTGTTTCTGTTGCATAGCTGTAATGACTGTATCGTACTATTCAACAGTGGAACGCCCTCCCTCTTGAGGTTGTCCTGGATCCAAGACAGGGGGGAAGTCATTTCCGGCAACATTTTTAATGGCACTATGTACACCTTTCACCTGCACATCTTGGCATCCCCATGTCCCCACGCATATACACTTACACATCTGTAAGAATCTTTAGCAGTGAAGGAGGCACATTATCCTTCACTGACCTAGCCCTTATTATTTCAAACACTGATTGCTTTCCTTTGACTTTACTTCAAATTTTGTATAGACATATGCGATTCAAACGCGTGAGAACCTCATGCACCTGGCTGGTACATCACCCATGGGCTTCCTAGGTAAGTTAGCAACATCTTAAAGGAACTGACCACCTCATGATTTCAAAATATATATCGGTATCAGATATTTGTTCATTAATCTTTCGTCATAAAAAGACTAGGCTTTTTTCAGAGGTTAAAAGGCTGGATGGGGGAATAGGTAGGGGGTGCATGATTGTCCTCTCAAGATCTCGGCCATAGAAGGATTGATCGCTACTACATTTTGCCCAAGTTACATCAAGAGCAAGAGTGTTTCGTAAGGGGTTACATTAACAATACTGAAATTATAACATTTCAATTTAGTCTTAAGTAAAAAGCAATAATTTGATGACAATTGTTTTGAAACGATCAAGATTTTTGGTTGTAAAGCAACAATTTGAAATTGGATTGTCCTTTCTAAAATGTTTCATCAATCTTACTGCTTCATCCACTTCACAGCTTACTACATGAACTCAGTACTAGAAGCCAGCGATCTCCCTCAAAGGTTGGTATAAAACATTTTTCTTTTGTGTGTGTATGTTTGGGATTTATTTTCAAAAATTTGGCCAGAAACATTTTATTTGCACTTCTTAGGGATTGGTACTAATTTTATGAAATATGAAACAAAGTATGATTCTTTTCATTTGGGATGTACTGTTATCTGTATGATGATGTGGGCTTCACGTTTGACAAACATGCAAGAATATTGAAAACATATTTTGTAACTTTAGAAATGCACTAATTAACAAGTTATAAAACTATATTGATATGACACACAACGCTCATATATCATTTTTTTTAATCCAAGCTTTAGAAAAAATACATTTTAGGTCATAAATAGTATTTTTGACTGCTGAACATTTTAATATTTTCTACTGCTATTAAACAAAAGTGCATTTTATGGAATTAAAAGTATGACTAATTGGTTGATTTGGTTTTTCTTTTCATGATCTGCAGGTGTTTTGCAGTGGGAAGACATTACAATGCAGCTGCAGGTTAGTATTTGTGGTGTATAAAGGGTAGCTTGGCGAAATGTAATGGAGCGAAAAGACAATTCTGTAACACAAAAGATGTATATGGGACCAAACTTGTGGCATAGAAATCGGGCCTCATTTTTAAGCTGTTGTCATATTTAAATATGAAGGCATATGAAGAGCCATGCTTTTCAGTGGACATTTTAACTCTGATGTTCTTCCACACTTGCATAATAACAATGATAATGCTCACAAATTATTTTCACCTCTCCCCAGAACTCAACCTTCTCTTAGATGTTTGAATATTGTTTATGAAATTAATTAGAATACTTGATTCCAAATCTGTACATGTAGCATTGAGAGTATTTAAAGACCGTCAATACTACTGGGCCAGAAGGGATTAGACCACCCAGCGAGGTCACTGACAGCTGGCTATCTTATTGACTCAGCTCTCAACTAACATTAGAAAAAGAGGATCATGGGGGACCAAGAGGCACCGATAGGGGAAGTTTTCTGTATAGAGGGAGCAAGTAGCTACAAGTAGGACAGTAGGGCTTTAAGACATTCATAACGACTACATTAGCCGAAATATGTGTTAAAGATTATTTTCTCTTCACTTTCTCCCAGAATCTGCAAAATTTCAGGGCCTTCATCACCAATACCAGGATTCCAGGGTGAGTTTATTAAAATTGTTGAACTTTATCAAATTTTCATTTTTTGTTAATTTTTTTCACATTCCAGTTAAAAAACATGCAAATACAAAATAATGTACTGTTGTACATCATAAAGTACAAATGAATACATACATAAAGAGAAAAACAAGTAAGTGACAAAGGGGAAATGATGACTATAGATGACAAACCAGTATGAGGAGGGGGAAAAACAAAAGCAAATTTGCTAGTCAGGGTAATTAATCCCCCAAATAATTATATTTAATGATTTGTATTGCCATAGTTTCTTCCAGCTCAGTAGTACTCAAAATTCCTTAGTTTGCGCCTCCTCAATCAACTCATTTCAAGAACATTTTTTCCTCCAGATCTTTTTATCACATGCTCATCCAGTCACTTTTATGACTTCATCTATCTACTGAATTCACTGTTTATGATGTGCAAAAAAGATTTAGGGCCCTGTTTTATAAAAATTGTTTTCAATAACAAATGCTGAATGTCTATGACAAATTAGCTCTCAGCCAATCAGATGCCACAATTTCAGTAGCTTTTAACAGTTATTGTTACTTGTTATTGATAACATGTTTTATGAAACAGGAACCTGATAATACCTGAATATGTCAGGCATTTGTAACATGAATTTTAGCCAGATAGATGATAAATTATAGGTATTGGAGATTCAGAATATGACATAAACTTCTTAGCTCCATCACCAAACGCCAGTTTTTGCTATTGTTGCAAATATGTGACGTTGTCATGGATTTTATGGCAATATGATGTCTCATGTTTCACTGGACAAAGAAACAAACACATAAAAATACCAACAAATATGCAGTCAATCAACAAACAATCAAACAAACAAACAAATAAACAAACAAACAATCAATCAAATAAACAAACACAAAAATAACCGTAAACAAACACACACATGAACGAATAAGGTAATGATTATTTATGCTGCTGCTTTCTAATTCTTAACAGCTTGAAATCTTTGGAGTGAGTGAAGGAGCAGAGGATTCAAGCAACGCTCTCTTATTTCAGTATCTCCACATTGTCACTGATCTCATCTCGACCTTTGACCTTCCATTCAGGTTAGTGGCTTTCTAAAAATGGACGTTAAAGATAAACTCCAGTACTGGTAAAAAATAAATGATAATTCTCACAGAATCAAACGAAACTTACACTGAATGTTCAAGATTACAAATAAATGACATGTGCCAAACAATTTTGGAAGAAAATGTATACTGGCTGAGTAATGAGCATAGAAAGACAAGGAAGTCAAGGTAGTACTAGCCCCGACACCATGTGTGTTGTCCCATATATAGCTTTCTATGTGAGTGCTTGTTACTTTACCAAGACTCGGTCAAATTTATTATGATTTTGATGACTCCAGAACCTTGCAGTGCACAGCAATACTTACATGCTACATGATCAACTGTTTCTGATCCTTTTTACACCTTTTCTTTCACAATGCAATCGCATTACCAGTACTAAAGTTTATCTTTATCCACCCCCTCCCCCCTCTTACTGATCTCATCTCAATATTTGTTATTCCTTTCAGGTCTTGAAGTGTTCTTTATCCAAAAAAGGGGGAGGGGAGAAAATACAAAAGGCATTCACAGTGTAATGTGTAAAAAAAAGGCTATTTCTGTTGAACGTGTGCCCCTTTGTTCACTGTAGATTACAGACAAAAATCTCTCTCTCTCTGTCTTGATAACTTCATATCTTGTTAAAAATATCTTGTTAAAGCATGATTCAATTTTTTTAACAAAAGTCATTGCAAAAAATGTAAAGATTGGAGATTAGATACAAATTTATATGATGTTTATATTTTGAACAATTAGTGGTTTGATATTTTGTATAATTAATGGTTTCATTTAGAATTTTAATGATTATTTGTCCAGATTCATGGTTCGAAATGGATTAGATTATTGATTTTTAAATTTGATTGAGTAATTGGTAGAGATATAATATGTTAGAAGTGTTCCCATGCCAAGCCTCTTCAGTGGATTCTGTAAAACAGTGTACATAGCAATTTGCTATTCTAGTTACTGTCATAATCATCATTTCTATTGTCTATAAAAAAAATATCATTATTTCACTTTAGCTAACAAATGCATTCAAACTCAAAGTAACAATGGATTGTTTTTTTTAACAGGGTTGTGGAGGTGTCTAGTAGGAATCTTCTCCCTTGCATGCATAGACAGATGGCAGTAGAGCTCTGGATACCCAGTGAGAGAAACTATATTGAGGTATGTCAAATATTCAGAAACGGTAATTGTTCATTGTAATTCTTAATCCTCATTCTATTAGTACCTCCACAGCTCTTTACTTTAAATGAATGCCAAGTGGGTTGAAAATTGACAAGGCAAGACAAGGTTCAAGACTGGAAATGGAGGAAAAACACCATTACATATGAATACCGGTACTCGTACAATATGTACATGTCCTTGTAAGTACGAATAGTTAATTTATATTTTGTGTTCTGGGCCTGGAGCCAGAACGTCTTAACCTTTATTCAAAAGCGTGTTTCTCAACAGATGATTTGTTAGTTAATTTGGTCAGGATATTTCTGTATGAAGTCTGGCATAATCTGTGTTGACGTTCTCACGATTTCAGGTAGCCAATGTGTGTAACTGCACAGATTTCATCAGCCGTCGTCTGAAGATCCGCTATCCCACCAACCCAAGAGAGAGCGCTGCGCAGAGCAGGAAACGCAGCTTTGGACATACAGTGAGTTATTTCATGTTTTATTATCCAATACAGCAATTATTCATGGATAAGTCGAGAATTCATTGTTGTTCATGTGTAAAGCTTTAACATTGGAATTCTCGTATTTACACATTGCCTTTTGAGGGATGATTTGATGTCTTCTAACAAATTATTTTGAGTGAAAGTGCAAGACCCACCCCCCCCCCCACACACACACATACCATCCTCCCCCCACACACACACATACCATCCTCCCCCTTTCATAAATGTTGAATATCTGAACAAAATTATTGTACAGTACTTAAAGTTCATATTTCCAAGGATGCTAACAGCTTTCCATAATTGTTAAGTCCAACTTAGAGACAAGTTCAACTTCAGATCTTTGTGAAACGCCCTCCTTGTATAGCACTGTAGTAGCTCAGTGTGCTCTATGAATACTTTTTGGTTGAACTTGTTGCTTCTGGTCTGACCTCTTCACAATTCTTTGTTTACTTTCAGATCCATGGCACAGCCTTGAAAACATCCGTGCTCCTGTCGGCCATGTTGGATTACGGGGCACTGGATTTGAAAGAAGCAAAGTCATGATGCTAACACTCGGGACCTGTTTCACAAAGCCTTTATTCAATGACAAATGACAAAAATCAGTGACAAATCTGTTGGTAACCAATCAGAAGCAAGGATTTCACTAGCTTATAACAGAAACTGTCATTTGTCACTGATGACAAGTTTTGTTAAATGCCCCCCCTGGACTGCATCCTCCTCTGCAGTCTCTGTGGAAGATTTGATAACTGCATATGTACATTTATATATTTATATTTTTATATGTACATTGTAAATTTTTATAACCCGTTTTTTTGTGTTTTCTTTTTACTGAAATAAAATGGATCAATCAATCAAAATATAGAAGTAAGTTGTAAATTCATTGTTGCTCTGTTTTGTTGTTATCTCAGGTTTAAAGCTAAAGACCAGTTATGGTCATGCGATTGCATTGTGAAAGAAACATTGTGAAATCGATCAGAAAAGGTTGATCATCTAGCATAGATGTACTGCAAGGTTCTGGAATCATCAAAATGATAAGAAATTTGGCCAAGTCTTCATAAAGTTAGAATCACTGTCCACAGAAAGATGTATATGGGACTACACACACGTGCGCGACACGTGCATTTGTATCTCTCAACAGGCAAGAGATACACTAATTTACCAAATATATCAATTAGTAGGCGGTTTCCCGTCAACATTTTTATCATCATGTATTATTCAAAACATATTCTTTCACATGATTGGTAATAAGAGCTTCCATTTCATTTTTTTTTTAAATTGGAGCGTTTCCAATACTGGTCTTTACCTTTAAAGGCAAGAAAATATATTATTGTTAGATTTTCTAACTACTGGGTCAAGTCAATATCAGTGAGTCGAGATGTAGAATTTACATTTGTTATTATACGCTAGTAATAAGTAGATCATATTTTCAATTGAATTGTAAATTCTTTGTTGCTCCGTTTTGGTTGGTTAACTAGGTTAAATGGCAATACTTATATTGGTTTGACCACCTGTATTTTGGTATTTTTGGAAGTTTCATGTATATCTCAAAACTTATGATTGTTTTCAAAGGTTGGCCTGAAGTAATTGAATGAGCCGTGTCATCATTTCCATTTTTGTACGAAACAAGTTGCTCACAATTCAGTGCAAGATTGCGTGTAGTGACAGAGCTGAAGAATTGCCATCACATTTAAACCAGGAAATAAATATTGCCTTACGCACCATGGTGGTGGAGACATAAAAGAGACTGAAAACTGTACTGTTATCTGGCATTATATCCTCAATGAATTTGGTTCTTAATATCAGGTATCGATGATCACAAGCAGTGCCACGCGAATGAGAGAAAGAGAGAGAAAGAGAGAGCAAGAGAGAGAAGAAACAGATATAATGAAAGATACAGGAGAGTGCTAGAGAGAGAAACAGAGAGCGAGGTATAAAGAACGGTTGGACTTTGAGACTGGAGAGAACAGGTGATAAAGAACAAAAGAGAAATAAAGAGAGGAAAGTTAAAAAGAGAGATTGAGAGGAGACAGAGTGAGGAAAAGAGAAATGAGAGCAAAATGAGGAAATCTAAAGTAGACCTCTGACAAAACCCTCAAATAATATGACACTAGCTTAAAAAAGTCAAACAGGACTAAAAAAAATCCACTCCTTTAAAACACTTGTCATCACTATAAACATTTTCTCACAACATATTTTTAAGAACAAGAAGACAAATGAGCCAATAGTAATGGTTTATATCAAAGTGACATGAATACTTATTTAATAGACATCAAAATATCCTTTACTGTACAAAATGACGTTAGAAATATATCCCTGTTAAAATATCCAATAGAAAATGAGGTTGCCTAGGAAATGTTAGAGAAAGTGTCACCGCTCGTCATATAGTACAAAAATTAGAGGTGCATGTATATTGAATGTCATTTACAACCAAATTAATTTTTGGGTGTTTCATCAACATTTGTCCACCGACAACTGTCAGCACTGATTAAAAAGCTCTATAACGAGCTCTGACAAATTGTCAGTGGACTTTAAAATACTGGCTGTGAGTCAGGAATTTCAGCTCCCATTGTGTGTATGCCTTTTCTACATGCACATACATTGTATTTGAGTGGTAATATATCAAAAAGTGTGCTATAGAAACTCTTCTCATTATTATTATAATTAATGCTATCATCATCATTATCAATTAAATCCAGAATAATAAACAAGTGTGGATTAGAACTTAATTTTAATGTTATAAAAAGCTTTCAGTAAAACAAGTAAGTTTAACTGGTCCTACTTCTTTGCATTCTATTGCAGCCTATTTGAAATAACCTAATTACAATATGCTCAGAATGATGAGAGGACCTAAAGCCGTCGACCGTCTAGTTGCTTACTTACAAGCATTTATGCTTTCTTAGCAGTCAGGTAAAATAACCACCATCACCACCACCACCATATGCAGCGTTTTTTTATTTCAAGATGCAGAAAATTCAACCACATAACCCCTACACTTATTGCACTACTCTGGCTTTATGTAAAACAAAGAATGGAATACAATTGAATTTATTACCATAGAAGGCAATGCATGGATCTGTCCCCTATGTATATTTCAGACATGCCAACCCCTTATACTGCCCTTCCTCGACAAAACAGCATAACTGACATTTTAGTGCTTTAAAGATAGGAAGAAACATGCATTTCAATTTGCTATTAAAAGTGTTTTAACGTTTTTATTCAGTGTTGACTTATCAAAATAGGCCATTACAGGATGTTTTATTAAAACCCTGAATTTTGGTTTAACATGTGGAACTTGAAGTTCTGAGTCACCCACACTAAATAACTCAATTTTGAAAGAGATGTCAGTAATGCCGTTTTGTCATGGAAGGGCAGAATAGTCCTTGAGCGAATCTGCGATCAACAGGTAAATATCTTCTTGAGAGTCCTTGAACAAGTTCTCTGCTTGGCGATAAACAATTCACTGCTTCTGCACCTAGGTTGTGGAACAGTCTTCCTCAGTATCTTCGCTCTTATTACCTGCTATCCACTTTCAAAACCCATCTAAAGACATACCTATTCCACAATGCTTACAACTAGCCACTACCCCATACCTGCAAACATTTGAATATAAGAATTAGGAATTTCTAGCAGGGGTCTGCCTAACCCAGTCTTTCCCATTCCGTTGTTTGTAGTGGAATGGAAATTAGCAGTACACAATCTCAGAAGACATATTGTCGAGAAGACCTGCATCGTCTGAGTCATCGAGTAAGGCAAGTTCAGCTTTCACAATGTGCAGCAGATCTTCACGTATCAGGTTTTCATTGAATCGAGTGATGGCTTTGTCAAAGTCTGGATCTGGGGGGAGCAGATAAAACGGAAGTGAAGGAATGAAAGAAATTAGAAATAGAGAAATTTGACACAAACACAACAAATATGCTAAACTATTATTATATTGAGGTTTATTCAATTGTATTTCTACAGTGTAGAAATTATGGTTCATTCCTGCTGCAGCAAAAAAAAGGTATAAAAGGTAACATCATCAACTGATTTATTTCCCAGCACTTAAAGATATTATGTCCCTTATGCAGCCAACATCAAATCAAATTCTATAGAACTTTGCAGGAATTATGAATATGTCATGTATGTCCTATCTGTGAAATTTAAACATTAGCAGTGTCCTAGTATTCAAATTATGCAAGGAAACCCATTTACTTTCTAGACTTCACTGTCAGACACTATTGAGTGACTGACTGACATCTTTTTTTCTTTGGTAATATCATACATAAAATGAGCTGTAACTGGTACACGAGCATTTGTCTACATCAATAACCCACTACTTGCAATGGCCAAAATTAAACTGATTTAATCTATGTGCAGCATAAAACACATGACCATTCGATACAAGAGTCTGAAACCAGATTACCGTATTACTTACTGGCTCTATAGCTCCTAAGTCGATTTGACAACTAATAGTCATTATTTTCCCACTTGAAGACATTTTCAAGCCCCACCTTTTTTAGGGAAGTTCTAAATTAGCATTATCTTTCAAATGCCATTGGAATTTAACCTTTTCATTATTTTGACCTGCAAATGGGACATAGTACCTTTAAAGATGGTTTGAAAATCTAAGATTTGTTCTTTTAGAAGCATCTATCTTAAACATCACAGAATACATGTTAATCTGGTCTGTTTGGAATTGTAATACACCCATAGCTCAGCAATAATTATTGAAAATTATGATGATGATCAAAATGATGATGACAATTACAAGTTCAAAGCAAAATGCTATGTATTACAGGAGAACTTACTGAACAGGCTCAGCATTGGAATGAATCGCAAAACATCATGGCTGCCTCCTTGGTGAAGCTCCTTCATTCTCTCATACACCCTCTGGAAATTCTGAAATTAAGTGAGACACACACCGGCACAACAATAATTACCAATCCTTTATTTAAATAATGTTATTGTGGTACAAAAATTACAGGTACATGTATATTTAATGTCATTTATACCCAGTTTCAAGTTTCAATGCAAATTTTAATTTTTACTTGTAATATGAAAGTGAAAGGCTTGCCTTTTTTTGGTTACAGATTTGCTTTTACCTCTATCTACCTACTACTATGGTTATTTCTTTCCCATGGCATCTAGGTGTACTTCCATCAATAAACCAAAAACTTACTATACTGCATTATTATAATACAATTTTTATATTCCTTTCATTTTAAACAAAAATTTGCAGTATATTGTCAAAAAACATTTCCGTTGGTATTTCTGACATCAAGTTTTGCAATATCCATGAACAAAAATGTATAATCAAGTGAATTGCTCTTCAAAATTATTGTCCTTTTTACTGAATAACATCTATGACAAATGTAATAGATTCATTATGTGTGTAAGAGAAGAGAATTTGTTAATAGGGGAATTCCAAAACAAAACTATCAGGAATTCTCTTGTTAATGCCTATCTTGCTAGACTCATGACAAATTAAGACTTACCTCCCCAAACTCAACATACCTGTTCTATCTGAGGGTTAGGATGAAACCCAGCGCAGTTGATTAGAACTCGAGGTGCAGTCAGCACATCCGACCTTTGACCCCTGACTAGGGTCAGGAGGTCAAAGGCCTGTGACAAGATGTAGACGATGCATGCAGAGAACCTTGTGAGCAGACCAGGCACCCATATGTGGAGGGACCCACCTGCTTGGAGCTCCTGTCAAATTCAAGTAGAAAGGTTTGTAAAGAGAAGGGAATTTGTTAACAGTTGGAATATTTAGGATCTGCATGTGTACACGGATCCCCTGTTTAAAATTCAAATTTTCTGGGGGTCAAAAGTGAACATTTAGGAACAATGTCATCCCAGGAGCCAACATGTTTTGCAATACGTAGATTTAGGGTGAACGTCTGATTGAAATATACATTAAATAATTTTTTTCAAGTAGAGGGCAAATGGGAGGGGACCTCGCAAGATACCTCACACAGTTGCCAATTCATGTTTGATTGATCACGATTGATCGCCCCTTCAAATATCTACAATTTTCTTATTTTTAATTGGTTGTTGCTCAAACTTTCACAAATTTGTTTCTCCATTTTTCTCCTTTTATTAAAACCAACTTAATACCAGGGTAGACTTCCTCTTTAGACTGATAATCATACCTTGATAGCAAGCAGGCAAGCAGAAATGAAATCTTGCTTCGTCTCCAGTTCACCCGCAGTAGGTTCCGTCTCTCTGGCAATGCATGATGGGAGCAGCTTGAAGAAAAAAGACTTGAATCTTCTCTTTCCATCAGCCTCCCTATTGAATACGATAACATAAAATGGAAAATAAAAAATGTTTACAAGTAATATATAAATGTGCAGGATAATATTCAAACAAGAATAGAATACAGTTATAAAATCACAAAGTTTTTAAAAGTTGATCTATACATTTTAGCTGTAAACAAATATTTCTGTTAGGTGATTGGTACATTTTAAATGTCATATTTGAAGAAAAAAAGGTCTCTTACCTTTCAAGCAAGTGTTGGATATCCCCAAACATCTCTCCTCTGGGGTTATTATCTCTGCAGCTTTTCTGTGAACAAATTAGCATTAATAGAATTATTTTGACAAATCTAGAGCAAACATATGACATTTTCTTGTTAAATAGGAGGGCATTAAGGATGACTGTCATACCAATTACAGAATACAGAACATTGTTGAATATAAATTGATAATAATAGCTCACCTACTATAAGTATACTCTACTTGCTACTGTAATGGCGCTGTGATGAAAACAAATTCCTAACAGTGCTAATTTACAGACACACAGTAACAAAAATATTCAAAAGCCCCTGAAAACAAGTGCATCTTCAACAAAACTTTGAAGATATCAACAGATGAGGCTCTTCTTATGTCTAGTGGTAGGCTATTCCAAAGCTTTGGAGTGGCGCAACTGAAAGGGCAATCTCCAAGAGTTACTTTTATTTGTTTTTGTGTGAGGTAGCTTTAGAAGGAGTTTGTCCTCTGTACCCTGTAACTTATGCACATGTAGACGTGATTTAAAAGATAATAATATTTTTGAATCAGACATTGTACATTGAATGAGAAAATGTACAGACAACAAGTTTTCTTCAAATTACAATTTCTCTTAACAATGTCCAAAACAATGTCTAAAACATTATTCCTAGGTAAGTTGCCTCCAGTCAGTAGCTGAATATATGTACAAGTCATATTCTTTGTATGTTGGCTAAAGGCTTGATCAGATATGGCGCGGTAAACCACCACAAGAAAGCCGCCACGATTCATTTACATGTAAATGAATGGCAACTGCGTGAAACAAAGGACTTGCATGTATTCACTGAGCTCTGTGTTTAGTATAAGATATATACAGAAATTTGAAGCATATAAACTTCATAAAAACGATAAAAAACGCCATGGTTTTTTCTTGTCATATCTGAACGAGCCTTAAAAAGCAAATAGATAAATACATATTTAAACAATTACAATGACTGCGTTGTGGGTGGATGCCAGCTGATCGAGCAAGTCCAGTTCCTGTTTGTTCACTCCAGAGCAGCACCATGATTCCTCTTGACCTGAGCTTGGGACAGGTCGCTTGGAGAGGAGACCTTCAATGACTTCATATATTTGGGGTGAAAGGTCACATTGAGGATGACCTTTTACATTGTGTCCAGTAGACTGCTGAAGAACCTGTACATAAGAATCAGAACGAATATTTAAAAGGTAATCGGGAGTACAAGTACAGTCAACCTGTATATAAAGGCCACTCAAGGGAGAAAGTGGTCTTCATAGGCAGGTGGTCTTTATGTAAAGATTTCTGTAATACAATATACATGTATCTATAGCATTTCAAGTGTAACTAGATGGAATTCGACTGCGTGCAGTCGAAAATGATGCCTCCGTCATAGAGCAATTTTACAAACCGAAACGGAAGAAATTTTTCAAATTCAAGTTCAATTGTAATCCATTAACATGTTCTCAGAATATCGTGATTACAAGCAATTTCTCATATACATATATGACCCTTTGATCTTTGACCTCATGACCCTAAAATCTACTCAGTTCATTGGCTCTGCAAGATTTCCTGAGTTAAATAGTAATCCATCTGTCAGTTCTAATGAGAATATGTCCACAAGCTATTTTGGCATACATAATGAGCCCATGACCTTTGATCTTATGAACCATTCATTGGCTCTGCAAGATACATAAATGATCTAAGTTTGGCAGGAATCCATCAATCTGTTCTAATGATAATACGATCACAAGCTATTTTTGCATACATAATGAGCCGCATGACCTTGACCTTTACCTCATGACCCCAAAATCTAATCAGTTCATCAGCTCTGCAAGTAACATACATGACCTAAGTTTGGCAGGAATCCATCAATCGGTTCTTGAGATAAGGCGATCACGAGCTGTTTTGCATACACAATGTGCGCTGTGACCTTTGACCTCGTGACCCCAAAATCTAATCAGTTCATTGGCTTTGCAAGATACATACATGACCAAAGTTTGGCAGGAATCCATCAATCGGTTCTTCAGATAACGCGATCACAAGCTGTTTTTGCATACATAATGAGCCCTGTGACCTTTGACCTCGTGACCCCAAAATCTAATCAGTTCATCAGCTCTGCAAGATACATACATGACCAAAGTTTGGCAGGAATCCATCAATCGGTTCTTCAGATAACGCGATCACAAGCTGTTTTTGCATACATAATGAGCCCTGTGACCTTTGACCTCGTGACCCCAAAATCTAATCAGTTCATCAGCTCTGCAAGATACATACATGACCAAAGTTTGGCAGGAATCCATCAATCGGTTGTTCAGATAACGCGATCACAAGCTGTTTTTGCATACATAATGAGCCCTGTGACCTTTGACCTTTGACCTCGTGACCCAAAATGTAATCAGATTGTTTTCCTTATAGTGATACACACTATCACTAAGTTTAAAGTTTAAATCTCCAGTGGTTCTTGAGATATCATGATAACAATCTCAATGTATGGAATTTCATAAGTTGACCTCTGTGACCCTTGACCTTTGACATACGTGCTCCAAAATCTAATCAGATCGTCTTCCTATGGTGATACATACTATCCTTAAGTTTGAAGTTTAAATCTCGAATGGTTCTTGAGATATCGCGCTAACAAACTCAATACAAGGAATTTCATAAGTTGACCTCTGTGACCTGTGACCTTTGACCTACGTACTCCAAAATCTAATCAGATCGTCTTCCTATGGTGATAAATACTATTCCCGAGTCTTAAGTTTAAATCTTAAATGGTTCTTGAGATATTGTGATAACGGTCAAATGGGACGTACGGACGGACGGACGGACGTACGGACGGACAACCCGAAAACATGATGCCTCCGGCACCACCTTCGGTGGCGGAGGCATAACAAACAATGTGATCTTTATAAACAGGTGGTCACTAAAGCAGGTTTTACTGTATTGACAGATAATGAAAGGCAACCTAATTGGCAAAATGTATATGAGAATAAAAATGGTGAAGACAGATGGTGGAAAAGAACAAGGAAGGAATTGAGGGTGGTAGAGAGGGAAGGAAGAGAGGGAAAGGGAAAGAAAGAGGGCAAAAATCACAAAGGTGGGAGAAAGGAAAGAAGTGAAGGGAGAAAGGGAAGAAAAGAGAGAGAGAAAAGAGGAAGGAGGTAGAAGAGGAAGAGAAGGAGGAGGGGAGAGGGAGATGGAGGAAGAAGATACAAAGGAGAGAGATGCAAAATATAAGGGGAGGAGGGAAAGGAGTAGGAGGGAGGGAGGAACGGGGAGACATAGAAGGAAAAAGAGAGGGAGAGAGAAGGAGGAGACAACTTAAAGGATACACAAAAAGGAGCTAAAAATTATTTAACAAGATCTTCATGATTTCGGTATCAGTGAATATGATGGCTAGTGTGTTAAACACAAATAATGACAAAGTAAAGATAATTTAGCAGAGAATTGCCAAACCTGAGCGTTGGTCCGTACACTCCTCCACTTATCCAGTAACGGCATCTGACAGAACGGCGACATGAATACTGCCCTCACTGGGTGACCTGTCACTATTTTCCATGACCCTAGACTATCTAAATCATGTTTTCCTGGTGTAATCTGCAAAGTTTCAGAACAGGAATTTCATGACGTGTAGCTGTTAGGCAAATATTAGCAAAAAATTAAATAGCACATATTCATGTTGTCTTTCTTACCACACACACACAAAAAACACACACACACGTACATGTACACCCCCCCCCCACATACACTCACACAAAGAAAAAACTAGATGGAACTTCGAATGCGCGCAGTCGAAAAAGATGCCTCCGTCATAGAGCAAGTTTACAAACCAAAACAGAAGAAATTTTTCAAATTCAAGTTCAATTGTAATCCATTAACAGGTTCTCAGAATATGGTGATTACAAGCGATTTCTCATATACATATATGACCCTTTGACCTCATGACCCTAAAATCTACTCAGTTCATTGGCTCTGCAAGATGTCCTGAGTTAAATAGTTATCCATCTGTCAGTTCTAATGAGAATGCGTTCACAAGCTATTTTTGCATACATAATGAGCCCATGACATTTGACCTTTGACCTCATGACCCAAGAATCTACTCGGTTCATTGGCTCTGCAAAATACATACATGATCTAAGTTTGGCAGGAATCCATCAATCTGTTCTAATGATAATGCGATCACAAGCTATTTTTGCATACATAATGAGCCGCATGACCTTTGACCTTGACCTCATGACCCTCAAAATCTAATCAGTTCATCGGCTCTGCAAGTAACATACATGACCTAAGTTTGGCAGGAATCCATCAATCGGTTCTTGAGATAACGCGATCACGAGCTGTTTTTGCATACATAATGAGCCCTGTGACCTTTGACCTCATGACCCCAAAATCTAATCAGTTCATCGGCTCTGCAAGATACATACATGACCAAAGTTTGGCAGGAATCCATCAATCGGTTCTTCAGATAACGCGATCACAAGCTGTTTTTGCATACATAATGAGCCCTGTGACCTTTGACCTCGTGACCCCAAAATCTAATCAGTTCATCGGCTCTGCAAGATACATACATGACCAAAGTTTGGCAGGAATCCATCAATCGGTTCTTGAGATTAAAGCGATCACGAGCTGTTTTTGCATACATAATGAGCCATGTGACCTTTGACCTTTGACCTCGTGACCCCAAAATCTAATCAGTTCATCGGCTCTGCAAGTAACATACATGACCTAAGTTTGGCAGGAATCCATCAATCGGTTCTTGAGATAACGCGATCACGAGCTGTTTTTGCATACATAATGAGCTTGTGACCTTCGACCTTTGACCTCGTGACCCCAAAATCTAATCAGTTCATTGGCTCTGCAAGATACATACATAACAAAAGTTTGGCAGGAATCCATTGATCGGTTCTTCAGATAACGCGATCACGAGAACGGGACGTACGGACGGACGTACACTCGGACGGACGTACGGACTGACGGACGGACGGACAACCAGAAAACATAATGCCTCCGGCTACTTCGTAACGGAGGCATAAAAACTTGATCCTGAACTGCTTACAGGACAACTAAATCAATCCAAATAAATTTTCCACCATACTATACATACATTTAAATCTTCAACATGTAAAACACAGAATGGCTAACAAATGAAAGGGATGAAATCCTCTAAATGTTTCTGTATACTACACTTACCCATGGAATTTGTACAGTGAATATTTCAGATGACCTGCCCTCTGTAGTCTCATTTGTAGTTGACCTTTGACCCCCAACTGCACCATCCAGCACATGCTGTTTCTCACCACCAACATTTGGGTCTTCACTTAACTCCATCTTCGAATGAATACAGAGAGCACATACTGTTTTAGCAATTCGACTGTAGTCTGAATGACTGACCCTAACACTAGCATCTTCGGCAAGGTGTGACCAAGCACATTCTTGTAAGGAAGTAGTGCTTATAGTTGGAGTTGTTTCTGGAGAGCCTACATCCATTGCTGCAACGTCCCCCACGATCCCCGCTACACCAACACTTGCTTGCACCGATGACGTTTGCACTGGATTCAATGTCCTTTGTTCATGATCACAGACCTCCATTGCACTTTCATGCCTTCCAACATGGCCGCCATCCCCATGACAACGCACAGCAGAGCTTGGCTGGTCACAATGAATTGCTTGTATAGTTGGACCAGTGTTCTCTGGCCCTGGTCCTGATCCTAGTCCTAGACCATCTCCACCTCCTCCGAGTCTTGCATCGCCTGCATTGGTCTGGTGGGAGTCACCTCCTTCAAGTTCTGAAGAATCCAGTTGGTCGGAAACAGAGACTGAACTACGCATTTTCTTTGGACTGGACCCTCCTAATAAAAGAGAATAAAACAAAAGAAGCAATGTTTTCCAGACTTAATCAGCAAAACCCATTAAATGGAGGTGTTTGAAGTTTGGGATTGTTATTTTAATTACTACGATACATGTGTTGTAATTCATAGTTTCCCTACATTTCACAAGATTGAAGCAATTTTCAGAACACCAAAGATTTGTAAGTTGACAAAAATCAGTCACAGTACAGTGAGTTCAAGAAGGAGATTTTGAAATAAGAATTTGATGAAAATGACCAACTTTACTATTCAGAAGTGACAGATTGAGTGATAGACAAACTATAGACACATATTGGTGCCTTAAGGAATTAAAAAAAGAGATAAACCAAGGCAGATAATTCCCAAGTCACACCATGAAACTTGACTCCAAATATATATCACGAGAACAATACAGAAATTGAATAATCAGTTGATTGATTGATTATTTGAACTGATTTATTGATTAAAATAGCGGCCAGAGGGTGAAACAAATTAAATTTACAACCAACGAAATTTAAAAATACATCCGTATATAATACATTGAAAATTGGTTCAATAAAATACAGTAATAAGCACAGTAATATACAAAATATGAATGATATTGCACACAAAAAAAAATCAACAGGGAAATGATGGACAAGACGAAGCTTGAAATAAAAGAAGAGTAATAAAAATCATTTAAATCCCCACTGCATTGCTAATTAGCTACTTGCGCCCTCTTTATACCAAACAATGCCTAAGCGGTGACAGTTGGTCCCCCATGGTCCCCTTTTTCTTATGTTAATTCAGACTTGATTTGATGAGATAACCACCTGTCAGTGACCTTGCAGGGAGGTCTAACCCCTCCTGGCAGAACTAGTGCAATGGGGCTTTAAAGAAAAAACAATTTCAAATTTTATTTAGACAAGTATGAAAGTTAAAATAGTCAGGTGTTCACAGTTCAGATTCATTGGCAGTACATTTACATCAATCAGCTTTGGATGAAAGGTTTGGAGGACTTACTCTGACTATCTCCCCCTAGACCAGCCTTGTATCCTTGTTGCTGGAGGTCCCTAAGGATCGACTGGAGATGCTCCTTCCATGACCGATGCCCTACCTCCCCCCTATCATCAAGGCTGCCATGGAGACGGTGCCACATGTTCTTTTTAAACATCGAACAGGCCTGATCATGGCAGGGAGAAAATGAATATCAGAACAATATAATTTCAAGGCCGTAGGCACTTTACAGGTATAGACCCGTTTTGGAAACGCCCCCCTCTCAAAAAATGAAATGGAAGCTCTTATTACCAATCACGTAAAAGAATATGATTTGACTAATATGTGATGATACAAATTTTGCTGGGAAACCACCTACTAATTGATATATTTGGTAAATTATCGAATACACTTCAATATTGAACATTTGGGCATATATTTCTGTTTTTTGGCAAGTTTAGATTGAAGTAATATTGCCATCTAAACCTCTGAAGGCAATATTTAAACAGTATTGAATGGATATTTTGCAGCCAAAACCCTTGAACTGCAATTTTGCCACTTCCGGTCTATATCTTTAAGCTGCAAAATTTGAATATTTTCGAATTTTTAGATACAAACTAGCTTGTTCTTTCACTTCAAATTAAAAAAAAATTGTTACTCAGGGAATAATTTTCCTGGTATCGCATCGCAATTTGCTACGCATTTTTGCATGACTGCTATACAAAATATCTTTTGTGTAGCAGTTTTCTTCCATAATCAAAAAATTTGAGGAAAATTATTCCCTGTTACTTGTGAAGATAGATGCCGCGCGATGTTTGCTAGCAGAACAATGAAACAAAGTGACATAATTGGAAATTTGCCACACAAAAGAATGCTTGCGATACAAACTGTAGCTTTGATGGCAATGAAAGGGGGAAGTTAAAATTGACATTTATTTTTTATAAGCACACAACCCCAACAAACATTAGTTACACAAATATCCTTTGAATTTTAATGATATTCAAGTATGACCCCTATTACAGTGTATGTAGATCTTCTACTGGATCTAGCCTCACTAATACATGAATGCACATTTTAAATCGTTTTTTTTTTACCTTTGAGCCATAATTTGGCATGAGTTTCTGGTGTTTCCTTGCGACCCTCAGACGACATCTCTTGATGAACATCTCAACGCACTGCGCCCTCACCCTGTCGATGCGTTGCCGTGACGACGGGTCCATATTAGGGTAAAGCTGCAGATTCTCTTCGATGGCCGCCACCTGATAGTTGGTGAACTTCAGGCTGCATTTCTCCAGCTGGGTCACAAAGGACTCGGGAAGGTGGGCGGGGCTAAAGAGGGGTGTCTTTCCAACATCGGGTCCTGCAGCCGAGACAAGAGAATTGGGGCTAAAATGAATAATGATGGCATTTGATTTAAAATCATATCTTAGTCTTTTGGAGTATAGTGGCAAACTTCTAAGTAAATTCTCAAAATTTCTACTACAACTACTACTACTTCTACTACTACTACTACTACTACTACTACTACTACTACTACTATTATGACTGCATCCGACAAATACCTGTGAAGTATGGAGTAGCTCTCTTTGCTTTTCTGAGTGTAAACATCTGTTTTGTGGAGTATACAACAAAAAGTATTAAAAAACAGCAGGGCAGGCAGACAGGAAACAGATAGAAATGTATAACATGCCCTGGGACCGAGAAAGAGAGAGGGAAAAGAGGAGAGAGAGAAAGAGAGATAGAGAGAGAGAGAAAGAGAAAGAGGAGAAAGAGAGAGAGGGAGAAAGAGAGAGGGAGAAAGCGAAAGGGAGAAAGAGAGAGGGAGAAAGAAAGAGGGAGAAAGACAAAGAAAGAAGGAACTGGTATAGGAGAGAGAGATAGCAGAGAAAAAAAATGGGGGGGGGGGGGGGAGAAAAGGCTATGGTAACACAATATTTCTTGTGTTTCTTACCAAAGTGTTGTAGCAGTGTGTCCAGCTGTGGCTGCAAGTGATCTCTGCCGAGATATGATTTGCACATGACATACACCTCAGAATTACCTGCTTTACTACAGGCTGGCTTCAAAACGGTGACCTGAGAGAAAAAGATGGAGATTAACACAAAAAAAGAGAGACCGAAAGATGTAAATTAGATAAAAAGATGAAGTTGCAGTCTGTGCTCTTTAAAGCCCTTTTGCACTACTTATAGCTATTTGCACCCTGTATATAGCAAACAACGCCTAATCGGTGCCTGTTGGTCCCCCATCATCCTTTTTTTTTAATGTTAATTGAGAGCTGATTTGATGAGATAACCACCTGTCAGTGACCTTGCAGGGAGGTCTAATCCCCTCTGGCCAAACTAGTACAGGCGGGCTTTAATATTAGAGGTCTGTCTAGAGGTGTCATAGTCAAGGGGATAAATCAATGGACTATGAACCCTGTGGTACATGACTTGCATCTTTGTCATGGCAGGAAACTTCTTTGGCAAGACATTGATCAAAATGTGCGACTCTCAACCCCGGTGAGGTAAATATGTAATAATAATAATAATAATAGCTCGTTCTTATATAGCGCTTTTCAGGACCGGAGGCCCTCACAAAGCGCTTTACAGATAAGTATATTATTACCCCAGTCATTGGATTCAGGCTTACCCGCACACAATGTATGCACATTCTCCACTCCCTGGGGAGCATTCCAGCCAGGCGTCATTTTTACATGCGCACACTTGCTAATCTAACCACATTAGCTTTCGCATCCTACCGGGTACCCATTTAACACCTGGGTGGAGAGTGGTACCTGGTAGGAAGAAATTTCTTTCAGGTTTCCATACCTTTTTAGGGTAGCTCAGCTATTAAAAGCTGATATGGTAATATGATACCTTGTGAAGCGCAGGAGATAATACCTTTGTTTAATAGGATGACTCATTATCATCATTCACAATGAAACCCTGAGAAATCAACATGTATGGTTATGAAAACAATTATTGATCGAACACAAGGAGATATTTTACAAAATGATACATAAATGCATAACAGGTACATGTCGATACCTCTTTGAAAGCGATATTGAGTAGGTTCATAAGGCACGCTGTATTGGCATTGTACATGGTGAACATCTTGACGAGGAAAGCGCCCTCTGGTGCCAAGAGTTTGAGAGCTGTAAGGGACTGGCAGAAGACAAGCGGAAAGACTCGGTGCTCCTGGTGTTCAGGATCATCCTGACAGTTTACACTGCCATCGGCCGTCACCTAAGAGGGAGACAAACGAAAAAGAGGAATTGAATTAAATACATAGATTGAAGTTGGCCTTAGTTGCATTTACTCCAAATTTATTTCATCAAAGACATGGATATAGGGTTGGGTAAAGGGTTATGATCGAGTTTCCAGAGTTTAAGTGTGTGTGTATGTAATTTGGTTTTTACAGACATGTATCAATCAGATATTGTTACTTATGTCTTTGGAGCGACCTTTAATGTCATCATCCATAAGACTCAGTTTCAAACTGGGATCCACCTGAGCCACTTATAGGCAAAGAGAAAGAGCTGACCAAGTGAACGTACCGCTAGACCAACTCGCATCCCCTAGGTTAAGGGCTAGATTTAGGTTTAACGTTAGGTCCAATTTAAGAACGGGTTAGTGTACTATACTACCTTCAGAGTACCTGTCGCCGGTACTATTCTGGCACCATCTAATTCACAATTACACAAACCTCCCAGAGATCAGAGAGCAAGTAGTTTGGCTCAAAAGATGTAATTTGAAGAAACATCCCTCCTGCGGGTCAACATAAGACCTGTCTGCCATAAAGTTGGTTTTTCAAGGGGTTATCTTGTCATCTTGAAAGGACCGAGTTTGAACAGGCTTAGAAACTTTGATTATTTGCACAGCAGCCTCTAAGTGTCTATAAACAGAATCTAACTGAGCATCTCCTTGAACTTTCAATTGTTCCTGGAGACCCTGTAATTTCGACTCCACATTTGCCTTTGTGTTCTATGTTGAAGTATGCCTATTATGCGAAGTCAAGTCTTGTACGATTTCCTCTCATTGTCAGACTGAACATCCCTATCCTGCCTTTTGCTTAACGCCCTAACCACAAGGTGCACATGTTTCACTAACCGCCTCATCTACACTCATGCACACATACCTGACATTCCTTGCATGATAGAGGACATGCAGCTGAACGAGTCTCACTCTCTTCTTGTCTATCCACGACATATGAACGGTTCCTATCAGAAGAAACCCCTCCCACCTCTTTGCGTGAAGCTCTTTCACATCATCGCAGCTGAGTTTTCTACTGAACCAATGCCTGCTATCAGTGTCATTGATGCGTCTAGTTTTTTAAACCTTTTTTGCAGTTTCACAAGTCTATCAAAAGTCTTGTTTTTCACATATTGCATGAGAAGAGTCGAACATTTGTCCACCCTACGATTAGCAAAGCCTTTCATGTAGATGTACTTCGGTACTTTGTGAAATGCCTCTACATTGTGTTAATCCGAGAACCCTTTCTATAGCACACCGCCTATTGTTGCTTTCTCTCTGCATAGTCTCTGAAATACGCCCCAAACCGACTAGTAGCATCATCCAAATTCAGGTAATTTGTTACCTGCTCTAACAATTCACTATAGAGAACATTGATGGAGAAGCTCACCATAAACAGAGTTTAAATGAGAGATACACCCCTAAAGAACAATTCTCACAAATTCCTTGATCCGAGTAGTACTGTGATCTGCATAAGAAAAAGTGGTATTAATTAGATACTTACAAGATGAACGGTTCCATTCATCTCCTGCTGAATTAGTCTTTCCAGTCCAGCCAAATTGGCTGCACTCATCACATCGCCCGTGTTGTCATCTCCAAAATACCAGCAATCAGGAGTCTGGAGAATGAGTCTATCGTCCACTATGGTGCAATCGGCTGTGTTGGTCTCACAGTGCGGGTTTAGACTTGTTCCCAGCCACTTCCACTGAATAATCTCCTTGTCCTTGTGAGTTTTGATGTAGTGGTTGAGGCTAGAGATGAAAGCTCCTGGTGCCTCACATATATGAAGGGAGTGAAGAGTACCAGAGTTCAAGGCTGAATCCGGGATAAGATGTCTACAAAGCAGAATAGCAAAAAACAAAAAAAGGAAAAGATTGACAATCTTATAAATTGGTGAAGGTTTTTGGCTCTCATAGGAGGGTTCCTGTATTCAAAACTTGCTTGGACAAGGTATTTTATGTTGATTTGTCCCTCTCGACCCGGGGGTATTAAGTGGGAACCTGCCAATTATGTAACAATGCTGGTGTGAAACTGATTGCAAATTTTACAGAAAAAGCAGTGTCATTACTGAATCTATCCTGGGTATTGAAATAGGACCAAATTCAACCAGTCCACCTTTCATTCTTGAGTTTTGAAAAACAAAAACAAACATTAAATTTACGAGGGCAATTAATAATTTAGTTGTTGATTATACCTAAAAATATGATATCGTTTCTTAAACTCTCATATGACAAGAAAAAGTATGCTTGGTAGTCTTTTAAAGCCTATCTGCACGAGTTTGGCCAGGAGGAATTAGACCTCCCTGTGTGGTCACTGGCAGGTTGTTATCTCATCAAATCAGCTCTCAATTAACATAAGAAATAGGGGACCATGGGGGATTAATGGATACTGCTTAGGCATTGTTGGCTATATAGAGGGTGCAAGTAGCTAAAAGTAGTGCAGTCCCATTTTAAGAAGTGAATTGGTTTAAATACCTAGTAGCCAGTATCTCAAGAAACTTGCTCCATCATGCCTATGAGTACCAAGCTCAATATAAAACTGATTCTTAATTAAGCTCCACTATTTTTCTGTTGTTAATAATAATAATAATAATAGTTTGTCCTTATATAGCGCATTTCAGGACCGCAGGCCCTCTCAATGGGCTTTACAGATATATATTGTGCATTTCGCTTTGATTGGCAAAAGCTTACTGACAAATGGATATAATGAGCTAGATAGAGTGTGATTTAATAGTAGTCTTTTTAGAAGTGAATTGGTTCATACCTAGTAGCCAGTATCTCATGGAACTTGCTCCATGCCTGGGTACCAAGCTCAATATGAAATCGTTTCTTCAGCTCCGTGATCACGAGACCACCTCGGTGTGTGGATCCAGTATGGGTATGCCACTCCAGGATCTCCTTATCGCTAAGGCGTTCCTGGGTCAACCTCAACTTTGACCTCAGGTCGCTCAAACCTTCATTCCAGTCATCCTGGGTTTAAAAACAAAAAGAGCGTCATCGATTTTGATTCTCTTGAGGACAACAATTTTGTATTTTGTATTATTCAAATCTTTTAAAAAGAGCAAACAATGACAAAATGAAAGACAAAGAACAGACTTTATGATGATCTAATATAAATTAAATCTCATAATTCTTGTTATCAAGGAAATTGATTTCTTATTGACAAGTAAAATCGTTCCCCTCGTAAGAAAATCAACATTGTTTGTCATAATCAGGCCAATTAATCTTAACAGCTCTGTACAAATGTTTGAGGGGTATAACTCTGAGTCAAACTCTGCAAACAATTTAATAGTAGCCCTTTGTTTTTCTACTTCGTTAAAAAAGAATCTGCCTGGGAAACAAGGAATCAATTTTACCGGCGATGCAGATTCCGGGGAAAAGAATAAATTCTCTTTATTTGGCAGTGTCCATGGGGGTTCCGTCTTTTGAAAAGTGAATGCTTTGCTGAAGAGTGCATCGACCTCACTCTGCTCTGGGTTTGTTTTCTGATTACCCCTTCCACGACCTCTGTTGTTATGACGATAACCCTGGCCACGCCTGTTGTGATGGTGCTCTGGATGTTGCTGATGACTTCTTTCTCCTAACTGAAGTGGGTTGTGCTCGTTGCTAGACATCTTATATTAGAACATCAGATTCTGTTCAGAATTGAAAGACTATGTTTTAAAGCAGGCTTGGACAACATATTGAAAAATATAACAGCGCTTTCGTTAAATAGGAAACCATTAAATGATACGCAAATTAGCAGTTCATTGCGTCGCACGCATTACAAGAATATCGATCAACATGATTAATGATCTACAATAACAAAAATACAATTAATTGCAGAGAAATTCAAGTGAGGTACCATGTCACGAATCAAACTCCATGACAGTCTTATCTATCCACAACCAAGCAATAAGTTTAAAATAAATTTTCATTTTTCATAGACGAACTTAAAGCCCCACTGTACTATAGCTACTTATACCCTATATAGCAAACAATGCCTAATCGGTGCCTGTCGGCCCCCATTATGATCCTCTTTTTCTTTTGTTAATTGAGAGCTGATTTGATTCTAGGATAACCACCTGTCAATGACCTTGCAGGGAGGTCTAATCCCCACTGGCGAAACTAATCTAGTACAGATTAGGCTTGGGCGGTTCCCTTGTTGATGAGAACCGACTCCGGTTCCCACTCTCGGCCTCGGTTCCAAGTGGAATCGACTCCCGCTGGCTGCCATATACAGTACATGCTGTAAAGGCCACACACACACACACACACACCAGGGAGGTGTTTACACACTGTATGTTATGTACTGTGCATGTCGGCTCCACTCAGCAGTGGCACCGATAGCAACAGATGATTTTCTGAGATATTTTTTTGGAAAACTTTACTTTTAAAAATGAGTATCAAAAGTATGAATGTATGTGTGACTTGTGTGTGTAAATTGATGTTTTGTTTATATCTGTTTCGTCTCATGATATCTCTACAATTACATGCAAACAATATATAAAGAAGATCAAAGTGCAGACCTTCATAAACAGTTATGAAATGATTTATTTTACTACTTTCGATCAAATCGAGAAAAAAACATTACCACTGCTAATAAAGTAATTAATTATTTAATAACTCATGGCAACTTGGCAACAATGTAAACAAACAAAAACATGTTAGGTCTAATTTAAATTCTAAACTTCAACATAGAATGATGGAATAATCAACTCGTACTTACACTGCTAAAATGTAAGAAATGCAGAACAATTATTTCCAATATTACGGTAAACAATCCATTATGTAAAACTAAAGATTCTGATTCCCTGCCTAAAATAAATGGAATGTATCCGAAACATGCCTGGTCCGCTGGCTCTCCTCCCAGGGACCAACCTTTATCTGAGAGCTAAGTGTAAATAACTCATGCTCACATGGCCGCCCGCCCGCCCAATGCCACCCAAAAACTTTAATGACCCCAGCCCCAGCTCGTGGCACTCCATTCCCATGGTTACTACTAACCACGTGCTTTCTAAACAACAGATAACAGCGCTAGATCTTAGTTTCAGAATAACTAGTCTGCATTTTCAGCCACTATTAGAGATTGCGCTAATGCCACAGCGAGAGGGGACACTTGACTTGCCTGAATTATTCTTATTTGTTTAAATACCCCCAAAAAGAACACAAGACAAAGAGATGTAGATCTGCAAAACTTATTCTTGAGACGAAAATAATAACAGAAGGGGATGCTAGAGGGGGAGAGAAAGGGAGAAGGGGGAGATGTTGACCTGCCACATTTATTCTTGTAAGGAAAACAAAATAACTGAAGGAAACAAGATAAAGGGGGAGGGGGAATGTACATGTAAATTGTAGACCTGTCAAACTTATTTTTAAGAAGAATAAAACTTGATGAGGAGAATTCAAGGGAGAGAAAGGAGGAGGAAATTGTGAGTTGTGTGATTTAGTTTATTTGAGGAAGAAAACTAAACGTCTGATGTCTAGGGGAAGGGGAGACTAGGGATAGAGAGAGAGAGAGAGAGAGAGCAAACACAAAGTCACATAAATCAGTGTGCGCACGAGAGAAAACATGAATCAACTCCTTGATCACACGCTCCAAGAGGAGAGAAAATGGGGCCATTGTTCCAAGACTCTTGCGCAATTCACCAAAGGTCAAACGTTCAGCTGGGGGGGGGGGGGGGGGGGGGGGGGCAGTTACAGACAACATGCAGCAGTGATGCACAGTACTACGAAGGAGGTACACACACAAATGTGTGTATCAAAACAGCATGCTGCTAGTGCGCCCATCGCTCGCATGCATTCTGCTTTGACAGAGCTGATTTTGTTCATTCTCTGTGCTGTGGAATCGACACCAGTTCGTTCGGGCAATGTTCCTTCGTTCACTTTTGCAAAGTATCTCTTTGAATTTTGGTGCTGTGGAGTCGACTCCAGCGCTAAAGACTCGGTTCTTTTCTTGGAACCGAGTCTCCTTTTCTCGGAACCGACGTGCTCGAGTAATCGACTCTCTAGAGATTGGAGTCGACTCCTCGGTTCTGGATTTCAGAATCGGTTAGAGTCGGGTACTCGGCTCTCGCTCCCAAGCCTAGTACAGATGGGCTTTGAATTAAACTTTAAGTTGAAATTGAGATTAGTTGAGACTTGAGTCTTGAGATTACTCATCATGATCATAATACGACAGGTTTGGAGTCGCGACAGATGGTTTTGTGAAACAGTTTGTCACTGAGCGGACAGGTCAAACAGCAGCGTTGAAAATGAAATGTTGTTGATTTTGTAGTTGTACTTATGATGGTTTCATGAACGATAATAATTGATTTCTTAACTGAAATTTTAAAAGGAACATGTTGATTGTTATAATAGTTTTAGTAAAATTTAAAGAAATAAATAACACCCATTCAATATCATCACATTCATGGCAGTTACTTCACATCTATTTCTCCCAGGCATTGGTAATAATTATACAAATCATTGCATTGATTTATATGTTTTCCAGAGCCACAGCCACAGCCAGGCGCGGATCCAGGGGGGGGGGGCGAGCGGGCCTTGGCCCCCCCCCCCCCCCCCCCCCCCGCAAAAAAAAAAAAAAAAAAAAAAAAAGAGAGAAGAAGGAAAAGAAGGGAGAAAGGGAAAAAGGAGAAAAAGGGAAAGAAAGGAGAGGAAGAAGAAAAGTAAAGGGGGAAGAAGGAGATCGGGGGGGGGGGGGGGGGGGCCGAAAGGGCATTGCCTCCCAGGCTGTTAACCCCCCCCCCCCCCCAATCAAAAAAAAATAAGAGAGAAGGAAGGAAAGAGAAAGAAAAACAAGGAAAAGAGGAGATACTGGCGTACTGATAGAGGGGGGGGGGGGGGGGGGCTTGGGGGAAATCAAATTCAAACGTGGTTGATTTCTGATTCCACAACGGTGTATTACAAATAATGCTGAAATGACATAATTTCCGAAATTTTTCCTCACTTTTTAGTAAATTATACGTTTGTATGTGTTTGTTGGAAAATAAAAAAATTCCTAAATTTACAACCAGGCAAAAAATATGATTCTTGAGATTCCTACATTTCAGGGCCCGAGGTACGGCGGGGATCGAGAGCTTCGAGGCATCAAAATATGCTTATCTGACCGTGATTAAATGCCTAAAACCCCTAAGCTTCAGGGGGGTTTGCCCCCTGGATTCCATCTAGGGCCCTACGGCGGGCCCTTAGATGATCATCTGACGGTAATTTAATGCCTAAAACCCCTGATTTTTTGGGCTCCGCCCCCTGGACCCCACGCCAAATAGTGACTTGCCAGTGTCACAAAATAATAAGGTATACACAAAAATATCATTAAACGCCTAAAACCCCTGAGCTTCCGGGGCTGGCTCCGCCGCCTCGACCCCACCTCTTTGAAATTCAGACAAGGATTAAAGAGTATAGAGAACGGTACAACGCATTGTTTTCTTTCTCTAATAATAAAACGTCAAAGCCTCGCGCAGGAGGGGAGGAGGGGGGGGGGGGGACTGAATTGAGACGAGGATTCAGAGGCGAGAACGGTAATACGAATCTTTAATTATTTGATGAAACGTAAAAGCTTATGCACTTCGCGCGGGATGGAGGGGGAACTAAATTCCGATGAGGATTATTTTTGAGAACAGTACAATGAATCGTCTTCTTCTCTAATGATTAAATGAAACGTAAAAGCTTCCGCGCTCCGCACGGGAGGGGGGGGGAACTGAATTCAGACGAGGATTAAGAGTCGAGAACTGTACAACAAATCGTCTTCTTTCTCTAATGATTTAATGAAACGTAGAAGCTTCCGTGCTTCGCGCAGGAGGGGGAGGGGAGGAACTGAATTTATACAAGGATTAAGAGTCGAGAACTGTACAACGAATCGTCTTCTTCTCTAATGATTAAATGAAGATTAAAAGCTTCCGCGCTTCGCCTTCGTACAACGAATCGTCTTCTTCTCTAATGATTAAATGAAGATTAAAAGCTTCCGCGCTTCGCGCAGGAGGGGGGGGGGAACTGAAATCAGACGAGGATAAAGGGTCGAGAACGGTACAACGAATCGTCTTCTTTCTAATCTTTCTAAAATAGTTTAATAAAACGTCAACGCTTCCGCGCTTCGCGCAGGAGGGGAGGGGGGGAGCTGAATTTAGACAAGGATTAAGAGTCGAGAACTGTACAACGAATCGTCTTCTTTCTCTAATAATTTAATAAATCGTAAAATTTTCCGCGCTTCGCGCGGGAGGGAAAAACTAAATTCAAACGAGAATTATTTTCGAGAACGGTACAACGAATCGTCTTCTTCCTTTAATAGTTTAATAAAACGTCAAAGCTTCCGCGCTTCGCGCAGGAGGGGGAGGGGGAGCTGAATTTAGACAAGGATTAAGAGTCGAGAACTTTACAACGAATCGTCTTTTTCTCTAATAATTTAATAAATCGTAAAATGTTCCGCGCTTCGCGCGGGAGGAGAAAAACTAAATTCAGATGAGAATTATTTTTGAGAACGGTACAACGAATCATCTTCTTTCTCTAATAATATAATGAAACGTCAAAGCCTGGGAGGGGGAAACTCGCCCCCCCCCCCCCCCCCCGCAATACGTCACTGTTGGTCACCATAACGTACCAATATTTGGCTCTCATAATTTCAAATTTGGGCCCCCCCCCCCCTAAGAAATCCTGGATCCGCACCTGGCCACAGCCACAGGATATCGTTTGGACTTGAGTTTGATCATATCGTGTTGATCATCGTAATTGCAATGCCAAATGCACTGGCGCTGGCAATGCAGCACAGCTGCATGCACTGCACTTGTCTTGTAATATGCCATGCGAGATCAGATCCTCACCTATAATTTAGTATACAACACGGCACCTTGACTTTGCATCCTTTTCCATCAACTAGAGAGTTTGAGTTCAATTTCAGCAGTATCAAGTTCGGCAGGCCCTCAGCTTATCTCATCCCTCCGAGTACGAGTTATGTCGAGGCTAGTAACTTCTTGGTCGAGGATAGGAAGGGGATTTCCCTCCATGCACGCAAATCTAGACGACGCATGCAGTAGATTTGTTTTAACGCAGAGGGCTCACTAGCAGTATTGCATTATTGTGTGCATGTGAGCTGGGGCCGGTGTAGGTCATCGTTCCCAAATTGTAAAACCATTGAGACGAATATACTCGTATCGTGCTCATGAAAGTTATGTAATTAGTATTCATTTATGTACCGACAATACATTTATCTGATACACAGGTTCTTCTCAAGAGGGCAAACAAAAGGTATTCATGAAGCACCTCCATCACTTCGACAGTGATTATTCTAAAATGCACAAGTGCATGGGACGTATCCATAGTGTAAAAGATCTGTGGCTTATTGATGACCAACAAAGCGTCCGACGTGTCTAACTGGTGACACACATATTATAGGCAAGTCATAAAACACAGTCATTTCTGCATAAATTTGTTATACGTTTATGATTTCTGGGACTGAAATTGATAATCTGTTTGAGCTTATTAATTTCTTCCCCACCCCACGTCGACTTAATTTCGAACCCGGGTGAACGAGTAGAAATCCCACACTGTATTTCCACCCCAACCACTCTGAACATGAGATGACAAAGAAATTATTCTACAGGGGCATATATAAGCGTAACAATCCATTAGCAAAGGTTAACAAATTACCGATGTTACATGCAATATCACGGAATAATACATGCATTAGGATCGAGGATTCGTCTCTCTACAGCGACAAGTTAAGCCCCATTGGTGAAAATCTTTGCCTGCATGGGCAGTATACAGGCAATATTTAATTATTTTGTTTTCTTCGTAGGCACTATTCCATGAATGCTTGAATGTATAAAGAAAAAGAATAGATACAAAAATGGGCGAGGATTCGTTGGTTAATCATTTTGTCCGATACAGAAAAGTGCCCCTATAACATGGACTTTGCCTTTTGCCACAAGCCTAAATTAATTTGCATTGGCGAAGTGGCATATTTAGGAAATTACTAACACAATTAAGAATAGGTCTTATTTTCCCTGAGGATACTTCTTTTCTCGTTTAGATTGATATCTTGTCAGCAGACGTTGGTCCGGGGCTCGGATTCGAACCCTCAAACCTTGGATGTTGTCCTAGGGGGTATTTGTCCTAGAGGGTGGTTACCCTAGGGGCGGTTATCCTAGGGGTGGTTGTCAAGGGGGTAGGTGTCCTAGAACCGCTATTAATGTACACAAAGTGACAGTTTCCGCTTTGGGGGGGGGGGGGGGTTAAGTTTGTTTTATTTTTATTTTTCATCTTCCTTCTGTCCGTCGGTCTCTTCTATGAAGAAAAAACACATACACCAACAGCAGAAGGATTCACAGAGCATCATTTGGGGCGCATTGTCTACCGGGGTCGCCCATATTTACAGAACTTTAAGCTATGCTTACCTGAATCCATGGACCCAGCCTACTTCTGCTACCCATTGAACGTCTCCTCTCTCTCTCTCTTCTTCTCTCTCTCTCTCTCTCTCTCTCTCTCCCTCTCTCTCTCTCTCTCTCCCTCTCTCTCTCTGTCCCGGCCCCTACATATTACATTGTGCTCTGATTGATTGACGTTGCTACTTGTTAAAAACATCGCACGATATTTAAAACGATATTATCATTAACCGCATGGTTGATCATGTCACAGATCTTTTGAAAAGTGAGTGACATTATGCGGAATGTAAATTCACGCTCCCCCCCCCCCCCCACTCTTTTGAACCGAACAATCCTTTACAAATTATGTTTATTTGCTCGTGCAAGTAAATTCTTATCGAACGGAAACATGATCCTCATTGTACGTGTATAATAATTGTCTGTTACACCAGGGACTTGGGATACAACTAACAACTAACAAGTCCCTGGTTACACATATCTTATAACACCCACGCCTTCAGAGACAAAAAGGCATTTACTGTAAGAGAAAATATATGAATCTAATGCTTTACTGGCTCCAACCAGATGTATCGTTTAAAAATTCAATTCATCATGGCGCCATATAAACAGGCACGTAGCCACGGGGGGAGGCACGTGTCCCCCTAAAATGTCCAAGATCGGTTGAACTTTTTTAGACCCCTCTTTTTACCTCGATCGATTACATGTATGTACACAGGGGCGGCGATTTCTTTTCATGACCGGGGGGGGGGGGGGGGAAGACGAAATGCGAGGAAAAATTTGTATTCCATTGGTATCACCAGTGGCATAATGAGCAAAATACTTTTTTTTTGGAGGGGGGGGGGGGGGCAGAAGACAAAAATCCGCGTCACCACCACTCTTACGCGTTACATGCAGGTCCCGCGAAACGTTTTTTCAAAGTGGGGGGGGGGGGGGGGCTAAAGTATTTACGATCAGGTAGGGTGTAGCGTAAATTGGCGTGGGATCTAGGGGCAAAAGCCCAGGCGGAGGTCAAGGGCGGAGCCCCCGGAAGCTCAGGGGTTTTAGGCATTTAATTACGTTCAGATGAGCATATTTTTGACACCTAATTAGTGAAACTGGAAGGTCATTAATTGTGGGGTTCAGTCGGCTGAGCCTCATGAATCTAATGGGCTTTAGGCATTAAATTACGGTCAGATGAGCATTCAGGGACCCACCCTGAGGCCCTTGGTGGGGTCCAGAGCCCCCGGAAGCTGGGGGTTTTGGGCAGTTAATTACAGTCAGATGAACATATTTTGATACCTTATTTGTGACACTGGAAGGACAATAATTGGCGTGGGATCCAGGGTGCGGAGCCCCAAAAATTTCAGGGGTTTAGGCATTAAATTACGGTCAGATGAGCATCCAGGGTCCCGTCTATGGCCACTGCAGGGGACAAAGCCTCCGCAAGCTCAGATTTTTTAAGGCCTTTAATAGGTCGGATGAGCATATTTTGAAACCTTATTTGTGACACTGGCAGGCCACTGTTCTTTCTTTCTTTCTTTCTATTTATCTTTGGAGGGGGAGGGGGGCTCGAGCCCCCGAGCCCTGCCGCTCCGTGGGCCCCGACATGTAGGCTTCTTAATAAGCATATGTTTTGCCTGACTGTAAATTTGGGAATTTTTCGTTGTCCAACAAACCCAACAAAAACGTATAATTTACACAAAAGTGAGGAAACATCACGAAAAATCATGTCATTTCAGCAACATTTGTAAATCACGGGTATCGAATTAGAAATAAAACAAGTTTGAGTTTTATTCGAGGGAGGCAAATGCCCCCTCCCCATCAGTACGCTAGTGGGTATCACGGTGATACCAACGGAATACAGATTTTCTACAATATTTACTTGTACATTCTAAAGGATATTATGCGAAGGTCGCGTAGCGACTGAGCTAGAAGATTTTTGCATTTTTATAAGTCTAAACGCTGCACTCTTGGGCCCTCCAGAGCCTAAAGTGTGTTGCAGTCTTTAGTTAGTATTCGCAATACATTTTCTTTATGCACTTTTTCAAATTTAAGGGGGGGGGGACGATCCCCCCTAAAAAATTGAGGGGGGGGGGACGTGTCCCCCCGTCCCCCCGGGATCGCCGCCCCTGTATGTATGATATAACTGTATGTCACCAGCATTAAGATGATATTTAATACCATGATGTCAGACGATATCTCGAAAAGGAAGAGTATAGATTGAGTATCATATAGGTCCTATTATTGATCCATGACGGAGCCAAATTCGAAGGCTGTGGGATTTGCCGGCAATGCCAACATAGACGTCATTTTGTATTTGTCCGTCTGTTGTCTGTTAAGGCATTGTTTCACGAAATCGTCATAAGTACAAGTTCACCGATATCCCAGTGAAACGATTGTTATTTTTAATATACGCGTTTCATTGGGATGTCAGCGAACTTGATATTATGACGGTTACGTGATGATAAGTGTACACTTGACAATTTTGTCTCACAAAAATGTCGATCAACATCATTCGGAGCACACATAATAGGTAACATTCGAAGTCTTTAAGACAGATCAACCACCGTACTATTAATTCATGCTTTTGTTATGTGCCATTTTGATTTACGTCATATTTTGCTTTCTGGTCTCCCTTCTTCACAAATTCAAAGACTACAACCTAATCATCCAGAGCTTCAAGAGAATATTCGGATAATAGAGTTACATGGACCATGTCAGCTTACCACGTGAATAACTGAATAGAACACCATCAAAATACAATTATTTTTTAACTGGGGTAAACTGGGAACGCCTAGTCAGAATAAGAACATAAACTAATGAATACCTTGTGCTTGCGGTGAGGAGAGCAAACAACAATACGTCGCGAGAGTCATGGATTTGGCAAGTTTGAACTGTTTGAACTGAAATAAATATCAATTACTAGCAGCTGTATTAATATATATATGAATATATATATGCCAATATATTTTGGAGTGCTGCTGATCTCTTTCAGAACAGGGTTTTATTTGTTTAGGATTAAGCGATCTTTGTTTTCCCTTTACATCGGCAACTGTTCGAGTTTTTATGGATGATTATTGAATGTTAGATTTTGCATGGTGGTTTATGGTTTCATCATGTTGAAAGTCCTGGAAAAGAATATTGGGTTTGATAGGGAATAGAAAAGAAGAAAGAGAGAGAGAGAGAGAGAGGGGGAGGGGGGAGAGGGGGGGGGGGGGGCGTGGGTATTCTTTTGGTTCCTCCTACTACACGCGACACTGCCATTGAATCCATGCATTTATTTTGTTTTTGAAAAGAAAAATGATAATAGCATGAAGAAAAAATGCAGGACAGAAAAAGAATGAAATGTAGAATGTAGAGTCGGCTATTAAACTGTTCTTGGGGACAAGGGGATGCATCTCTTCGGAAAATGTCTAACATTTTCAAAATATTAGTCAGCCCACCCCCCCCCCCCCCCTTTCCCCTCACCACAGGGAATGTTATGTCATAAATTTTAAAATGGAAAGGAAAACATATATGAAGATATCAAATTAGGTTAAGAAGGACCTAATATAACAATATACATATGTTCAAGGTTATATTATGTGTTTACAAAGTCACTGTGTGCGTGTGCTTCAGTGTATGTTCGCGTGCCTGGGCAATGTCGGTGCCTGGTAAAGACCACCTCCTACACGCCCCCTTTCC